AAAAAGCAAGCTTTTCTCCTGCTCGAGAGCTGCTTGTGATGTTGCTGTACTGTGATGTATTCTGCAGGTGTGATGAAGTGGAACAGAGGTCTGTAACTAACTTTAGGTGTACAGCTGAACCTCTCTCTGTAGACAGTAACAAAGAATAACCACCTTGACAGTTGAAATGCTCTTTAAAAGTGGCTGCCATTAACTACAGAGGGAGCTAAAGCAGCTGGACTCTGCAGCTTAGTGCATTAGTTGCATGTTTAAAGATGAATCCTTATGCTCATAGACTCTGACAGGAATGATGCAAGCATCCTTCAAGTTCTTGCTGTCTGCAGGCTTTGATAGCATTTGCTCAATCAGTTTAGACTTTATTATGAAGTTCTCTAGAATTTATGAAGTTTACGAAGTTATGAAGAATGAGAGTTTAAAAACAAAGCTTCTCTTGAAAAAGTGTGAATATATCTTTCTAAAGTCTAAGCCTTTGAGGGATAAATTTGTTAACTGTATTGGATATGGAAGTGTGTATTCCATTGTCTGTGCTTTTCCTCACCTATGGCTCTTTTCAATGTGCAAAGTAGAATACTTCTATTTATTGGGGGAGAGATTTCATTTAAAAACAAAACAAAACAAAAACAGTTAAAACATGATCGATCATAGCAGTGTTCTTTACTGATGAGTGAACTTGACTTTCAGCATCCTTTGGGCCGGATAAACTTGGCTAACTGCACAACTCGTCAGATTGAGCCTGTCAACAGGGAGTTCTGTGCACGACCCAACACTTTTGAACTAATAACTGTCCGTCCTCAGAGGGAAGATGATAAAGAGACTCTTGTCAGCCAATGCAGAGACACGCTGTGTGTTACAAAGTAAGTGGATAAAATCATGAACCTCGTGTAGTTTATGGAAAGGGAGGGATGGTCTTGCCTCATGTCATGGTTTTAATATAGCTTTACAGTTTTGGCACGCTGATGCAGCACTCATTTAAATGTTTAGATTTTGGGGGTCACACTTAAACTTTGTTCACTTCTAGTCCTGTTTTGTCTTATTATCAGGCTTCAACCTTCTGGAAATGCTGAGTTCTCTCTGTTCTTAAAAGTAGAAATGCCAGGTAGTTTATTGGAACTTAACAGAATTCTGGAATACTTGATTTCATTTTTTCCTTTGCTATTTGGGATTCTGTAGATAAGCTTGACCTTTTTCTGAATCTCTATGTAGAAGAGGGGGGGAAATATCTAATTCATTGAGTTCTTTGCTTTTTAGGAATTGGCTATCTGCTGATACTAAGGAAGAACGTAACCTTTGGATGCAAAAGCTGAATCAAGTTCTTGTTGACCTTCGTATGTGGCAACCTGATGCTTGCTACAAACCAATTGGAAAGCTTTAACCACAGGAAGGAGAACATGAAGAGAACACCTATGCAAAAGGCAGTGTGAACTAAAAAGGAAAAGAAAAATTAAAAAAAAAATCTATGGAAAGTCATCTGGATCACTTAAGCTTTAAATCTGAGAGATTACATACCTTTATATAGGGCTGTTATGCAGTATTTTTGTCTCCCTTTAAGGATTTTAGAACTTATTTCATAGCTTTTGAGTATAGTAGGAAACAATTAGCTGTTTCTAAATATGCTAAATATTTATATAACTTTTGGGATGTGTTTTTAGCTAAGTACATTCTCTTCTTGAAAAAACTAAATTATTGCAGGAAATCACACTTCAGGGCTCAGGGCCAGGGGGGAGCTAGTGAAAACACAAGCTTATTAGCTATCTCAGCTCCCTGAATGAGTAGTTCAGAGTTCTCTGAGAAGAAAGGTGCTGAAGCAGGGACTTTAATGTTGGAGGCTTTTTTCATAATGATCAGGCATGAAATTTAATAGTAACTTCATTCTAAAGCATGCAATATAGGCGTTTCTTGCTTGCACAATATCCTTGTGGTCAGAACAGGAGATATTCACAATACTCATGCTTCTTCTGTTTTAAATATTTTTGTTGTTTCTCGTACAACCTGGTATGGATAAGTGTATGACATGTATACTATGTTGTTTACAGGTGTGGAATTATGTATGCAGTATATTGCACTTTGATAGAAATGAAAGGTCTTGAATATTTTTGTTAGGACTGCTATATTAAAAATAAATTTTAGCCTTAGTGTTGTGTACGTCGGTATTTCCTGGACCTCACAATTTGTACAAGCTTGAATTCCACTCCATTTGAGGGCCAGGAATAGGTTGTAAAATAGCTTTTCCTGTAAGACACTATAAAGCTGCTATCTACCAACTAATGCTCTGGCAGAAAGTATGGGTCTTCCTCCTGCCATAAATGTCTGTAATTGCATATAAAAACAGTACTACAGACCCATCATAAAATGCCAAAACTACTCAGTTAAAATCTGCTATTTTCACAGCTTTTCACTGTTCTTAGTGAAATACTATCTGATTACCCCACTATTACAAACGCAGTAGTGGAATACTTGTTTAGCTGTTGTATTTTCACACTTGAAACACTAAATTCTGTTATCTTAAACTGCCTTTTGTACTGTACTTTTGCTTTTAAATCTACTTTTCTTTTTTCCAATGTCTTTAAATATTTCCAAATTACGTATTGAGATTTATTTTATCCTTTTAAAATAAAGAAAATAAAACGCTATGTAACTACTTCTAATGTCATCTGTGCATTTGAGGCACCAGTTTGTAGGTTAAAGAAGAGAAGATCGACTGCACACAATGTTTGGGAAAGGATTCTGTTCAGTGTATGTATCCTGAAGCCCTCATTTGGGAAGATGCTAGGGGTACCTAGCATTGAGTTTTGCAAAGGGAGACCAAATTATTGATGGGCAGTTACCATGAACTGGTTGGAATGATACGTCTGGATGTAGAGGCTGCTAGAGACCAGCAGTTTGAGTGCAACAAGGAGAAATGGTTCTTTTCTCTTATGGTGGAGACTTGACAGCAGAGTAGCAATACAACATAAATTTAATCCGTGGATACAAGGTAGACCATCCATTTACCTTATTCTTCCAAGAAGATGTTAATAAAAATCATTAGATGTGAAGCAAGAGTCTATAAACATAGAGGTAAGTGGCATACTTTTATTTAGGTTAAAAGGACTATTAACCACCATAGAAACTAGTATTTGTTCATTGCCTAAGCTGAAAAATATTCTCAACAAGGAAATTTGTCACCTGTTACAGTTTATACAAGATAGAAAAGCTGGCCTTGATGGTGAGTTCCAAGCACGAGCTGCAAGTGATGGTCATCTGTACTACTGCAGGCAGAAGCATGTGACACAAGCTTAGCAAAAAGCCTCCAGTTATGCTCTTGAACCATGTTGCTGTGAACCTTCTATCAGATGAATCTTCTATCAGACTTCCCTGGCTCTTCTAGAGGTGAGCAGTGACATTTCTTTCTCAGTGGTGGTCTGTTTTCTGGGCATTGCAAGGTAGGCATGAGGGAGCAAGGAAAATGCTGGTGTGAGGGGAGTAAGTTTCTATGTTATTTTGGCTGTTGGTGCATTGAAGCCTTGATGAATGTTGAAAGCAGAAACACAAGAGCAATCATTCTACTTAAATTTTTATACTTAAAACTAGAAAGTGATTGTGCTCTTTCTTCTGTGTAGATCATGCAGGGCCTTTAGGATTTTATCTCTCTTTTTGCTGAAGTGGAAAGCCAAATACAGCTCCAGGGTTTGAAAAGATTCAGACAAATGTCACTGAAGGGTAAGAGCTGTCTGTCCTACAGGTTGGAACTTTCTTGTATTTAGTAGTCCCTTCCAAAGGGAAGAAGCCAGACCGATGGCATTCAAATAGCTCCTGGTAGATACAGATGCAGTTCTTTCTCTTAAAAGTAACTCAGATGACAAAGCATTAAGTTCATGTAAAATACGAATGGAATTACTAATAACATTCATCATAAACCAATCTAAGCATCAGAACAGTTAAATTAAGGGAAGAGAGTACAATTCATCGTTTGCTGCTGCTTTAGATTAATTAAGCTTTGTCAGAATCAGCTATTTAAATATATGGTGTTCAGTTACCAGTGTTTGATGGTCGCGGATGTAGATCTTCAGCTGTTGAAATATTTTTTTAAATAACAGAGATACAAATATAGGCTTAACACCCCTCCTCTATATTTGCAAATAGTGCCTTAGCTAAAAATCCAATCTTTGCATCCAGCCTGATTTTAATGCTGAACTGCAGACTTTGTGCTGAGGAGTGAGGATGAGGTTTGTTCAGGGCCTGCAGCCAAGGGCGAGCCCATTTTATGGCGTCCCTCAAGGACTGCATCAAGCACACAGTAACGCTGCTAGGGCAAATCTGAGAGCTTTGAGATTTGCCTTTGGAGGTTTCAGGTCTCTCTTGATTGAGAGGATGGTCTAATTTTGTAAGAAGGCTTTTTCTGTGGTTCGCAATTTCATGATGTTTACTAATAAGAAATTCTACAAATGGAAAACGCTTTGCTCTGGGCAATGAATCTTTTTTAATTGAGGAAACTTGATTTTCACTAGCTTTTATAACTCCTAATTGACATTATTAAAACCTAACCTAAAATGAAACATAGTGATTTGTAGTGAGATTGCCTGAAAATCTGGCTTCTAAACACATGCTGTTCTCTTCCCCCTTTTTAATTGCTTCATTTCCTTATGGGTGTACAGGAAATTATCTGACACAGTTCCATAGGTATTGTCCTATTGTATGTGATCTACAGCAAAACCAGAGGTGGATGCACTTGATTTTGTCCTGGTGGTGCTTTTAGTGGAAGGTAGGGAGGCTGGCTTGGCACATAGACACTGAACACTATTCTCTTTGGCAGAGAGCTTTCGTACTGCAGGCAGGCAAATTTCCTTTTCCCACCTCTAACGCTTGATAGCAGAAGCATGTGTGAGGAAGGATGGGTTCAAACTGTTTCTTGGGAGACAGTGAATATTTTGACAACACCTAAATGCCTTGAATGAATTGGAGCATAATAATGTAAGTAATAATAATAATAATTATACTATTATATATACTAATAATAGTAAGTATAATTCAGTTAAAGAACTTATTTCCTCTTGATTTCCTAGAACAGGTAACTAGAATATTTTCATAAATGTTAACAGTTGTCCCATAAGTCCCATAATAAATGGTGTTGCATTGACTAAAAAAACCCAAACAGAAGATGGTCTATAACGTTTTCAAGTTCTTGTCTGCCTATTCAGTCTGCTGAGTTGATGCATCTTGTGCAGACACAGCCAGAGTGCTCAGGTCCATGCACAGCCAGGCCACCTCATCTAGTTCGTTGAGCAGCATCAGGGCTGGGTCACAGCTGGCATAGCCTTATGCAGAGGACACTGTCAGAACAAAAAGCAGACCAAGTACACCCGAACTTTGGCTAACTGATGGGTGCAGTCATGCCATGCTAGCACTTTCTATTTACCATGATTTTCCCTGTGTAATCAGTACAACTTTATGCAATCAGTGAAGCTGTCTCTAATTTTGATTGATTGGATATTTTGTTGTTGTGGTAGCAAGTTCATTCTTTCTCTTTTCTTTTTCCTGGGTGAGCTGGTATAAAGACCACTTTTATTCCTCAGTCTTCAATCCTATTTATTAAGTAGAGCAGATAAGAGCTGCCTGTTACCTTTGGTAATTCCTGAGGGCATGCCTACATAACAAGCAGGAGAGAACATCTTGTGTTTATTATGAAGCAGAAGAGTGAAGATGTGTTAGAGCTTTAAAAATCTGTGTTAAATACACTGAAGGTTGTAAGGTTACCAGCTTGTTAATGGTGGGGAAGAGAACATGTGCTCAGGCTGACCTAATGCTGCCAGGCAAATCTAATTCCTAGTCCCTTGTTACTCCTGGCACACTTTAATAAGCAAATAGCAGCTAAATAATGTACTAACAGTCAGGACAATTACACAATTCATAGTAACAAAATGACCCAGGTGCCCCCCTGTCCTTTTGGGATCAGATTGGTTGTTAAAACAGTACAAATGGAAAGGCCAGAGATGATGTTCTGTAAGAAAAAACAACGAGGTTTGCTCTATGTTGAAAAAATCTTCTGGATTTGCAAACCAGCACAATAAATGGTCTAGCTGGCAGGTATCCTTGGATTTTTTAATTTCTGAAGCTCTACAGAAAGACTTGCCTACTTGTGCAGGTGGATGACTTTGCAGTTTGAGATGCACTGCTGAAAAGAATGCAGTTGTACAAACAGCCAACGGTGCTGAAGTTAGCACAGCTATTTTGAACAACAGAAGAGCTTGGCTCTGAAAACTTGCTTCCTCTTTTTTTCTTTTTCTTTCTGTTTTTTGGTCTCTAATAACTCTGTTTCCTGGAATGTACTCGGAAGCATCACCGTAAGACCTGGCTTTGTCAAACTGAGAATCAGTGTCCACCTTGATCTTTGAATATAGCTTCAATCTGATCATTAAATGGATTCTCCTTTCCAAGCACTTGAGGCCATTCGTGTAGTGCCTTCTGCCAGGTAACACTTGTTCCCAGGGCTGCAGCAATCTGCAAACATCACAAATAGTACTGTCAATTTCTTGTGTCTCTACAACCAGCACTTAGCAGTCCCCACCACAAAGAAGACTCTGCTCTATATTCACATAGAATCATTAAAACTGGAAAAGACCATCTAGTCCAAAAGTCAACCCAACCCCAATAGGTTCATGAACGGTGCCACTACCACCTCCCTGGCAGCCTGTTCTAATGCATTACCAGTCTTTCTGTCGAAAAATATTTCCTAATACCCCAACTGAACCTCCCCTGCCACAACTTGAGGCCTTTTCCTCTCATCCTGGCACTGTTACCTGGGGGAAGAGGCTGACCCCTGCTTTGCAACCCTCTTGTTTCAGCAACAAAGCAATTAGCAATGAAGTCTCCCCTGAGCTGCCTCTTCTCCAGACTAAACACGATGGACTGTAACCTCAAAGAGAAGTTCAATCCAGCTGGTTCCACAGTGAATATAAAATAAAGATTGCGTATCTGTACCTCCCTGACCAGTGTGAGAACTAGATTTATCAACACATGCTCCTTTCCAATAAAGTGAAAACAAAGATATGACCTCCCAAAGTTTCTTTAAGATGTAAATTACTATATTAAATCTTTTTTAGGATGCATTTTGCAAGCATGAAGTTCCACCTTCTATTAAAAATGTGTTGTCTTATGTCTTTGCAAATTCTTTTGTCAGTTACAGGAAAATAGATAATAAGGTCTCCAATGGTTTCCTGACACCTATGGTGTCTGCCCAACAGACTTCTATTCAAAAGCCATAGGAGCTGACTCCTAACAATTATGAAAGTTTATCAAAAGCACTGCTTGGATATACATAAATCTCTTGCCAGTCCAAAGGAATTCAAGCTCTCGAGTTCCTCTGATACTTCTAATAACTATTCACTCTGATATCCTATAAGGAAACCCTAGGTGCTGGGAGAAAGAGGTCTAATTATGTCCAGGTTCAAAACCAACCGCCTCTGATTCTCTGAGTTCACAGAGCCTTTTCCCAGGAGAGCTGCTGGAAGTGGTAAAATAGCTCTTCTCCTCGCTGCCAGAATTGCTCTGCCTTTCATGGAGTGTTTGCCCTAGAAGTTATTCACTGGAGAGAAATTGTTTCTACTGTATTGCTAGGGTGAAAAACATCAAGGGCAGGAGGAAGGGAAAGAGGAGACAGCCTGATTCGCCTTTAAACAAGTTTTTACACTTTGCTAAATGCATTTTTTGTTTTAACTTCTACAATTGTATGGTAACTTTACTTTCAACCCTAAAGCTCATGCTGACATTAACTACGAGACTTAAACAGGGCTAACAAAGCCGTTTTGTTTAAGGGCCAAGGTGGGTTCATAGAACCAAAGTGTTTGAACTACAGTTTCAACATTTGGGAACAGGCTGGAGCCTTTGGGGGAGTTTTATGCACTTCTTTGTACTGCTGTACTTTTGAAGTAACGGTGGGCCTGGAGAAGCCAGGAGAAGAAAACTTTCTTTTATTCAGAGCTCGTGTACAAAGAGCCGCACCTGTGGGGTAGAAGCTCTTAGATTCTCGTTGGTTGCGACCTCATTAGGCAGGGATGTTTCGTAGGGGAGAGGGATAGGAGAAATTGTGTAACACGGTGTCTTTTCTTGGGGCAATTCCTAAAAGTGACCAAAGAGTTCTTCTGGGACACCCTAAGCCTCAAGGTGGCTGAGACCTGTCTGCGTCAGAGGGATCTGTCCCAGCATGGGAGTCTCCAACCCTAAGCCTTCCCTATGCTTAGTGATTTTGTTTGCTTTTGAAAGAAGAAACACTGTCTTTTCATGATGCACCCTCTGAAAAAGTATCACAGGAGGGGTGTTCAGGCTGCTGTTGGCTGCAGTTGAAGACAAATGCACTCAGAATGCCCTAAATTGTGCAGGTCTTGCTCAGACTGCAGTCTGTGTGGTGCGGATGGTTTGGATAATTTACCCTGGACAAGCAGTGAGGCACAGAGGGCCTCACAATGAGAGAAATTGTAGGCCCTTTTTCAATCCCAAACATCTTGTGCTTTGAGACCAGCTACAAGTCACGTGGTCTGTGATGATGATGGTTTTCTATGTGGCTGACAAATCCTAATCAACCTTTAAAGCAAATACTGCCCATGCCTTGTGTAGCCCTGGGTGACCGTGACTGGGAGGTAGCTGTTCTGTGTTAGCAGCTTTTGGATGTCTTTCTTGGATGGGAAACGCTTCTCAGCAAAGTGTAAATACACAACTAATCTGAAATGTGCTGTGCTGGCTTTTCCCTTTTTTTTTTTAACTTTTTTTCCTGGCTATAATGTGTTTTGCTCAGATTTAAAGAAGGAAAAAAGGGAGAATCTAATCACAATCAAGCTGTGCTTTCCTGCCTGTACATAACCATTAAGACTCTTCCAAGCATTTCAGTTTACAGTTTGTGATGCTCAGGGCTTTCACATTCTCTGTGGTAACTTCGTAAAAGCAAGAAATGAAGCAATTTATACAGGATCCTGTTGAAATGCATGGCTGTTCCATACAAACAAAGCAATCAGCTGTTCCAGAAAGAAGCAATGTCCTTGAAACCATCTGGCACTCAGGATGGTTTGCAGCGAGATTTGTAGAATGGAAGAGATGCTGAAAAACTCCCCGGGCTCCCCCTGTAGTCAATGGGGAAGAGAAAGTCGGATTTCTTCCAAGGGCAACTGAGCAGGACCTGAGGGATCACTGTCTCAGAGATTACTCTAGAGGGATCTTGAGAGGACTGAGTTACGTGCCCTGATTTTAGGTGTTAAAAGGTGTGATTTTTGTCCCCTTACAGCTTGATCTGTGAGTTTTGGTTAAAAAATAAATAAAAGATGCAAAATCTGCAGAGCACAATTTCAGCTTTGAAACCTGCCATAGAGGATTATGCCAAGAACTTTCAACTTTGCAGCTTAATGAAAACACACAGGAAAATGCCCTTTGTCCCCCAGGAACACTTTGATAGGACACAATTCTTGGCTGGGCTAAACAAATGAGTGCTTGGTGTTTTTCCCTTCTTTTAAGGATTTTTAAGAATCAGTTACTCTCTATGGACACTATTTAATTGAAGTGTCCTAACCTAGCCTTTGTCAATGCATGAGAAAACATAGTAGCTCTGATGGGACATATGTATCATAGTCTTTTTTCTTTTTTTCCTCTTGCTTCTCTCTGCAATGATTTGTATGTGGCTTTTGGAAGGATGCAATTCTCTTCCACTCTCTTCCTGTATAGTTGGACCAATGCTCTATCAGATACACCTGGTTATACCACTGAGTTATGGTTTTCTGTCATTAATGAGATAGCAGATAAGGGGCAAGTGAAACTCGGGGGCAGAGCTCAGACTTCTCCTGCCCAAAGGAGTTTCACTACCACTGGGGATCAATCATGGTGTCCCTCTAGCAACAGCTAAAACGCATACGCTTTCCTCGGAGTGCTGCTCACTTCAAATATTTGTGAATATTACTCTAATGCTTTGAGATCTGCTTTGAGAAAAATGCAGCAAAATTGCCCAGGCAAGGACTTATTTGTCATATTTATTTGCTGAGCTGTACATGATGAGTGAGGAATTGCTGCAGAGATGGAGGTAAGAGACTTCAATCCCTTGGCAAGCCGCGGGGTATCAACTCTCTTGTGCTAGGCAGCATTAAGTGGTGTTAAAATTGTACCTGGCCAGAGGCTGGCATGAAGTCCAACCTTAAATAAAACTTGTATGAGGAGTGAGCGAGTTGTTTGTCATCTCTCTCAAGCTAACTCTTAAAAATCATGCTGTGCTCAAACTTCCCCTGCTTTGTACTGCGAGAGCCGTTCGTTCAGAGCAGAGTGCTGTGTCTCAGCCCAAATAGTGCTGTGTTGATAACAGGCTTGTGTATAATAGCAGGAAAAAGAAAAATGGATTTAAAGTGGTGGATGTTTGGATAAGGCTAATTAATAAATCCTAGAAGGGAAATAACTCACTTGAAGTGAGGCATATCTACAGCTGGCACCTTGACTGTATGGGAAAACATACCTATAAAAGCATTAATGTCATCCTAACAGCAGGAGAGGGAGATAGTAATGACAGTAGGATGCTGGGCCTGAGGGGAGAAAATATGGCAGCAGTTGGATGTGCGTAGGCTTGCAGCTGCCCTTCCATGCCCTTCTGTCATTTTCTTCTGGCTTGGGAAGGTTCCCTTCAAGGCAAATGCCTGCTGGGCTCCATGCTGTGCTGTGGTGCAGGATGTAGACAGGAGCATGTTGGAAAAGCTGTGACCTGGAGAGCCTGGCTCCTGTGGTGGTCTCTTGCTGGTGGCCATGTACACCCTCAGGTTAAGGTGTCGAACAGCCACAAATAGCTTATCTGCTCACCTCCAGACTCTCTCAATGCTGTTTCCCCAGATGGCATGGTTGGAAACGGGGTTGATTTCATCGCTGTTTTCACACCCGTTTCATTTGCCAAGTTTTCTCTAATTGCTTCCTTTCAAAAGGCCTGCAGTGAAAAATCTAGGCACGCTTTCCCCACGTCCTCAGGCTGCAAATTTGTATTTCCCTGCAGCTATCTTGTGGCAGTGCCTGGTAGCCAAGCAGGCACTAATGCTGATGTGAAAGAGTCCCTTTGGAAACAGGAAGATTTTGTGGCATGGCAAGGGTGTGCTAGAGACCATTTTGCTTCACCTGATCATCACAGATGTAAAGGATATCAAGGGAAACACTTATTTTGGCTTTGGATTTCCCCACGCAGCTCTCCATGGCTGAAGAGACAGTTAGTGGGGAAGCTGCAGAAATGCAGTTTGGAATGCAGTTCTTGGAATGTGTGCCCAAAGCTCCTCCACTCTTTCCTAGGGTTTTTTTTTCTATTAGCATTGCATTGGATTATTTGGTGGTAGGTGGGAGTGAACGTATGTGGGGTGTTGTCTTCCATCATAAATCCCCCCCCTAAATTCTTTTGAGCATGGGAAGCAGCTATGAGGTATTGTCATTTGAGGGGCAGTCATACAGCTCTACGCAGGGTGGTATTGGGAAGATGGGGCACTCTTTTGCTTCACTTTTCGAATTTCAAGTATGTATCTGTTTCCAAATAAGTGTGTGTTTGAAACCTGAAGCTATAGAAAAAAAAAAGAATTGCTTTGTTGTAGTTGGTCACGGGATTTAAGAGCTGATTGCTCTTAAAAACATTGTATGGGTTCAGAAAGGAGTACTCCAAAAGCAAACATGATGGAAACTAGGCAAACCTAGCACAAGACCAGTGAGCCCAAGCATGGGGTTTCGGTTGAGCTGCTATTTCTCCTCTCCTTTCATCCACTTCTGACTGCAAACCTTCTCTTGCCACCCCTCCTTAGAGGCAAAGAAATGGGGAGAGAAGTTTTTCACAATACATAGCCGTAGAGCATAAACCAATTTACATGTATAGCTTCAAAATGAACGCTTTGATCTGGGATATGCTAGGGGGATCTGTGGCCTTGGAGGATGAGGATGTGGGATACAGAGGCACGAACATGGACGAGGAGCTTGGCAAAGGGACACGGACATGGGCATAGGCAGGGCCAGCATCATGGTCATGGTCATGGTTAGGGGCAGGGACTGAACCAGCATCTCTTATAAAAGAGAAATCCCACAGTCCACCCTCCCCTCTGCAGGACAACCAGACACCGCAGGCAGACGCTGGCATCCCGCTCTCCACACCACTCCCTGCCATTGCCTCAGGATTTTACCTGGCTGGGATGGAAGCCATCCACTGGCTCGATCAGCTGCCAGGGCTCACCGCCCATCCTGTGCCACTCTTCGGCTGCTGCAGAGCACAAAAGAGGAAGGGTTACTGCATTGCACTGAGATAAGACCCCCCCCGTCCTCCTCCAAATGCCCACAGTACTTTTAAGCTCACAGCAACGCTGAGTGAAGATTATGATAATTTACATAAAGTTGTCAGAGCCATTACTGCATACAATCTCCATCTCCTTGGGGCAGTATTTAAGATTTTATTGTTGTTTTTTAAAATCTGAAATATTTAAGCAAGGAAGTGCTGTGAACGTAAATGACTGTAAAACAATTCTCTTTCCCTCCAGTAAGACCAGTGCTGTAGTGAGTGAAGCTATAAGTTATTTAATAGTGATTCAATACTTTTGTATTTTCCACTTTAGTTGCAGCTTCAGCAGAGCAGGAAATACAACTATGAAAGGAAAAGCTACAGAAAACAGGGCTTTTTAGAGAAAGAGATGGTAGCACAGTATTCACAGGGGCTGATGTCTGCAGGAATGGGATGTCACTTTCAGTTACATTTCTTCCAAATGGCCTTTTTCAACTCCAACAAAATAACCTTTTGAATTACATAAGCACAACAGTCGTTGCAAATGATGCTCTACTGTGAGCCATTAGAGAAGCAAAAAGCTTGCCTTCTTCAAAAGGGCCGTAGCAATCAAACGTGGGACCAGTGGATATAACATTAACAGACTGTAAATTTGATCATTTATTTTATAATGACAGATTAAGAATTCCTAATAGAGTGCCTAGTGGGCATCCTGTCAGGAGAAAAGTATTCTCCTTTCAAGTGCTACAGTTTTGACCTAGAATTACCAGCATGGCCTCTGGCTGCTGTGGCAAGAAGTGATGCCCGGATCCTCATTCTGGCCCTGAATTCATAGATTGGCAGCATTCCTGCTTTAACTAAAGAAATGTAATTGTGATGCTTTATTCAACAGCAAAGTGACTTGTTTTGCAGAACAGGACTCGGAAGCTTCTTTCAAAAATGTTGGGCACATTGAAATGCTCATCTTATGTTACAGCAGGGACTGGGTTCACACACAACACACATGGTGTGAGCTTGGCCAGCCCCTTACAGATGACGTCTTACATTGGGTATGAGGCTGTGTGTTGTGTTGTGCTTTAGACAGACTCCCCTTCCAGTGCCAGAAACAGCAGGTAAGTAAGGTGAGCAAAATTTCTGGCAACAAAGGTCAGTTTAGTCTGTTATTATACTTGACCTCTGAAAATCCTAGAGCTGTTCTTAGACCAACTGCGAGCATCCAGAGGTTGCCTTAAAATATGCCTATCTCCTAGGCTAGGCTAGGCCAGAGCTTGCTCACATCCACTCCAGGAGAAGCCAAAACCAGCCCTTGTTAATGCACTACTTCTTTACATAACCACTAAGTTCTTAAGCCAAAAGCAACTTGAATGCCCGCCTAAATCTCCAATAAGTGCTCTACACCCAAGAAGGCTCCATCCAAGAAAGCTGGGAGCGGTTGTGTAGATATCAGCACATGCCCGCTTAGAACTCTTGTCCTCATCACAGCATTGCAACCACTGCTAAATATTTGATGCCTGGGGAGCCTAGGGGAGGATTTGCACTTGCTTCAGGAGGAGAGCAGAAAGTAGGTCAGCAGCCTCAGCTCGCTTCTGAGTGCATCCATGAGCTGACAGGTTTACTGATGGAAGCGCACATCGCCAGCTCCAGAGCTGCAGGAAACTTTGCAGGGTGTCTGTCAGAGGTGGTGTTTGTATGTGCATGTGTGTTCGTTTGCCTCGTTTATTTAATGCAGTGTAATCAAGAACAGCAAATTATATCTTGTGTTTCTTTTTGCGAAAGCAAATAAATTACCTAAAGTTATCAGTTCAACTTATTAAAGTAATTTGCCTACCCAGCAGGTAGTTTGTTTCAAATCCCAACGTCTTGTTAAATATTAATTAGCAAAAACTTGGCCACCTTGAAACTCTTTGCTATGATATCTAGCTTGACAAAGGGGTCAGCATCTTTGAGTTTCAGTTTTGGATGGAAAAAATCCCATCCTAAGCTTTACCTCCTCCTCTGTGTGCTCTGCGTGAGACCCAGCCCAGCTCCCAGAACTGGGTCATGGAGAATAAAATAAATTTGTGAGTTTGATGGGTTTTGGCTCCGGCTGAGACTTTTGCAATAGTCCTGGGTGCCTCAGCAGCTTTGTGCTACCGAGGATGGGCAGACGCTGACTGGGAGAGGTGTTGGAGATGTACACTTTGAAGTATTGCCAGCTGCTTCTGTCCCTTCACGGCTCTTCTAGCTGTCTACGTTCTGAGATTTAAAATGCCATTAAAAAAAAAAGGAACATATGGTCCTCAGGCATAATTTTTCAAGCAGGACCTCTTGGTGAATACAAAAATAAGAGAATGCAGATCCAATTTTTTTATTTAATTATTACGCGCTGTATATGGAATCTAAAAGTCCATGATATTGAGGAGGCCCCAAGATGGCCAAATTGGAGTTCCTGTCCTGTGGGCCGAGGGATGGGGACAAGTCACCCTGGGGAAAAAGTGGCTAGAGAGTGTATGGCAATGACCCCATTGCCCGCAGGGAGGTGACAAGACTGTTCCTACCACTGATTTGTCAGGAGTGCTTCTGCTTTCCTCATGATATGTGGTGCTGTAAGTTCTGTTTGTACTGTGTCAGCAGCAGAAGAAAGTGATTCAGGGGATGTGCTTACATAGTGTCACTTAAGATCACGTAAGGGTGAGTGTTGCAAGTCCCTCAAGTCAGTGTAGAGTGGTATTTTGGTGCGGAAGGAAACACAGGGCAGAAGCTAGTTCCTGCTGAGGGAGATGCTTTTGGCGGCAGGGAAGGTGGCTGCATTTCTCAGGGAGGAAAACTGACTGAGAAAACCTGCCCTTGCTACAGAGCTAACACATTGGGATGGGTTAGCACCACTTGAGAGAGGAGAGGGAAAAGCCACTTACTTTGTTTCAGTGGGAAATCCATGTAGAAAACATCAAAGTTGGCAAACTTCTGAGTTCTGCTGATTTCTTTCAGGACATTGGAAAGTTGTAAGGCTCTCTGCAAAAATCAAGCAATGCAGTGAAAAGTCAATGCCTTATGTCATTGCAGATTGCACCAACTCAGATAATAAGACTAACATGACACATAGCTACTTTACCAGAAATTTCTTTTGGCAGTGGCCCTGCCCCTGTATAACTATTCAGGCCCTCCCATTTCAGGGTCCTCTTGATGAGTAGCAGCCCAATTCCTCTTAAGGAAGACTGAAACTTTCTACACAGGCTCAATGTTTTCCTTTCCCATTATCTCCCTGCTGCTGTATCAATGGTATTAATGCTCAGCTAGCCAGGCTGTTTCCTAAATACTTAACAGTATTTAGGAAACAGGGCATGTAACAGCTGTTACGTGCCCTGTACGTTCTGTAGTGCTGGTGTTAAATAAGGTGCAGTCCTGCAAAGATTTAGGAATGTGCTTCAGAAGTGAAGAGGGGTGGAGCATACAGTGCAAAACATATGTAAAACCTGGCAAAATTAAAGCCATATTTTTTGTTGGCCATGCCACCAGGAGCAATGGCCTGTGAGCAGTTTCCTTATCAAAGAATTTCTTCTCAAAGAGCAAGACCCTGAATGTTTTTGTCTCATGGAGATCATGGGGACCTCAGAGAGATCACGTCTCTCAAGAATGAATTTGGACAGCTGAAGGATCACGGGATGAACACAGGTTAGCTGTGCTATGCTCTGAGAGCCTGCAGGATACTTGAAAGGATGGGCACAGAAAATGCCACATCTTGTCACCCACATTTATGGAAGAAAAAGTGTTCTGATGTCTTGCATTTGGGATACCAGGTTTAGTCCAGCATCACAGCAGTCATATAAGACTAAAGCAAAATGAAAGAGATCGGTACATAGTTTCTGTTTAAGCTTTCTCTCGATATGGAGACATTGCATATTCTTTTAGTTGCTCTGCATTCCAATGATGTATTTTTATCTGCTCTGGCTGTTGTGAAATGATTTAAGGGCATCTTGTGCTTTTTCAGTGAAAACATCTGGTTGTATAACACAAGACACCTGGTATTTAGGAAGAATTTCATCACGGAGAGGGTGTTCAACATTGGAACTGGCTCACCTGGCAGATAGTGGAGTCCCCACCCCTGGAGGTATTAATGAGACTCGTTGATGTGGCACTAAGGGACACGGTCAGTGGTGGGTCTTTGTAGGTCAGGTGGACAGTTGGACTTGCTGGTCTTGGAGATCTTTTCCAGGGTAAATAATTCTAGGATTCTATGCAAGATTCAGGGGTAGGGCAGACTGGAAGACTCTCTGGGCAAGAGGGCGGACCTGCACATCAAACTCAGAGGTACCTTTTCTCCTTACCTCTGAGGTCAGGTTCCTGAGGGTCTCATTGGCAGTCAGCCAGCCGCTGCAGGGGCTCACCTGGGTGGACAGGGGAGGCAGGGGGTCAGTGGCAAGCAAATGAGAGGAGAGGGCAGGGATGCTCCTAAGGGAGACCTTACCTGAAGGCAGTTGAGGAAAGTGTACAGCTGGCTGTAGGTGACGTCTTTGTTCAGCTGCCCTGCAAAACACAGAGAGGGAAGCTCTGCATGCCCAGTGGCCACAGGTACTGCCATGACTTTGCTTTGTGGCTCCACGCATCCCCAGATTTTTCATTGCTGTTCTAGGAACTACAGAGCATGACAGCACTCAAATGGAATGGGCTCCTCGGGCTGCTTTGTAGGAGCAACATGGCACAGGTGTGGCTCCTTCTCTCATCCTACAGTCAGGGAACAACAGCAGGAGAGCTCAAACATCAAGGGCAGGTGGGAATGTCCCGGACCCACACAGTCCCAAATGCCAGGTCCTGACAAGGGCTTTTGTGGGGCCTGGGGTGCAAATGGCTACCGCAGCCGATGGGTTTGGTCTACATGAGACCAGGTGGGTATTTTGTCAGAAAGCCAGGATGACTGCTGGCGGAGCCTGATGGGCTGCCAAGCAGGGAAACCTCCTCACAACCTGTTGGAAGATCTGCCAGAAGTGATGTCTTGCTGCAAAACATGTTGCTGAGGATTAATTGGTTCCCTCTGAGGTGATTGAAGCCCTCTGAAAAATTGCCAACTGGCCCTATAGCTAATCGCTCCTGGTTTGCCTTGTGCCAACAATGCTACGTGTTATCTTTGATAATTAGACACCCAGTAGAGGAGCCGCCCCTGTGATAAACATGCACTCAAGCACAGAAGTGCATTTGTGTGACTGAAGAGTTATTATCTCCCCCTGAGCTAGAAGGAACGGGGGTTTCCTTTTTTTTTCGTTATGTTTTCACTTGATAGTAGTACAGTGCTAATTTGGGAAAAGGTGATGATCACAGAATCACAGGGGTTGGAAGGGGCTTCCAGAGATCACCAAGTCCAACCCCCTGCTAAAGCAGGTTCCCTATAATAGGTTGTATAGGCATAGGTATGGAACTTCCTATGTTCAAGTTTATAACTCCTTGTCCTGTCACTACACACCATCAAGAAGAGCCTGGCTTCATCCATTTGCCTCCCACCTCCATTTAGATGTTTCTAAACATTAATCAGATTCCCCTCTCAGTCTTCTTTTCCCCAGGCTGAACAGATCCAGGTTACTCAGTCGTTCCTCACAGGGGAGATGCTCCAGGCACTTTATCATCTTTGTGGCCCTTCGCTGGACTCCTTCTAGGAGATTCCTGTCTTTTCTGAACTGGGAAGCCCAGAACTGGACACAATAGTCTGAATGTGGCCTCACATGGGCAGAGTAGAAGGGGAGGATTATAGAAGAACAGTAGAAATGGAGACTTCAGACTTCCCGAGAAAAGGAATGTACTTTTGAGGGGCAAAATGACCAGGCAGTATATCAAGCAGAAACTATGGGGCCTATGGGTAATGACGGAACTTGGGGAAATCAAAGCCACGTGAAAGCTCAAATAGCAAAAATCATTTGAAGATATAATCTACCAGCTCACTGAAGTGATTTACCTTCTCTTCTCTCCCTTTACTGATGAAGACTGATATGGCAACAACTTCTTACTTATTCAGATGCAGGAAAGATTTCTTTACCCAAAGATCAGAAGGAACATACTTTTGGCCTGGTTCCTCTACAGTTCCTCATACCTACACTTGAATGGAGAACACCAAACATACTTTTGCTACGTGTAAAAATGTCATGGTTTTATGATTTTTGTTAATGGTATTTCGATAAAAACTTGCTTTGCTACCTGGATGAAATATTTTGTGGTTTTTCTTTATTGACAGTGGGATAATAAGAACAAACATTATCTCAAGGCACCTAAGGGCAACTTTGCTTGAGAGAAAGCCTCAGAACATGCCTATGTGGTGTGAAGCTTCAGTGGTCACACCTATGTGCAGAATAGGAGGTGGCAGTCACCCGAGTGCTTGTGGAAAATTTATTTCTCTAGTATCTACTCAGTCTTTTGCAACTCCTTGGCTTAATCCTGCCCTGGTCCACACCTAGTTTTACCAAGACATCCATCAATCAGAGACTGGAGTTGTTCACCAAGTGCCCAGCTTGTTTCCACCTCCACATTTTGTGTTGAGCATGGTTTGGGGCTGAATGGGTTTGGGGATCATATGTTTAGGGATCTGCCCTCTAGATGCTCTATTCCATGCTGGGGGTGACTATCCAACTGCACAGGCAAGTTCATACTTTCCAGATCTCCACTACTTAGGCTTACTTGAAATATGCCGATATTTCACAAATTACTCAGGGAGAGAAGGAAACATGAGTGAATGATAACCAAGAGGACCCCACAGCATCTCATATTTACCCAGAGGATGATATCTGTTGTGTAGATTATCCCAGAGAAAGCGGCCATCCACCAAGCCTGTCAGAATCACGTGGCTGCCGTTTGGAAGCCGGGAGTCCAGGTATCGCAGAGCTTGCATGACGTTGGAGAACATTTCTTTGGGGGTGGTCATGTGAGCCAGCGTGTCCTGGTTCCTGTAGAAGAGGGTGCAAACAGGGCATCGTGTCAGGCACTGCTGGGCCTACAAACAGGCACATGCAATAGCAGTGCTTTCTTGTTTTCTGTTCTTCCATATTAGGTTAGCTGAACAAAACCTTATAGAAGTGACGTGATGCTCTTTAGACTCTTGTTGCTATTGCCGTAATAATGAGCAATGCAGAAATTAACAAACAAAAGGCGGGTGCGCAGTCTTGTTTTGTGGAGTGACCTCTGAAGTTGAAATAAATTCCAACTTACACAAGAAAAACAAACAAGCCAAACTCCCCCAGGCTTCCTAGAGAAAACTGCTCTTGTTGTATTAATAAAACAACCACTGCATTATATAAAGAATGATCGCCTGATCTCTCCTGAGTGCTACTGCCTCATATCAACAGGTGGATGGAGGTGTCTCCAGGCAGGTAATCTCCCAAGGGCTGGGGAGATGACGCTGGTCTGTTGTGAAAATGCAGCTCAGCTTGACCAAAGCTTTCAGAAAGAAAGGCCTTTTCCTGGAATCCTTTATCTGAAGAGCACCCCTAAGCCTTCCACGTGGTACAGGGGCTTGGAGACCTTCCCTGTCAAAGTCCATGAGCCACATATAGCCAATACGGCTTCCCAATGAGTAAGAGCAGGGCAAGCTCAAGATGGGGATGACTAAACCGTTGGGAGATCAGGCAGGATTGCTTTGCTGGTGAGTGCCCTGCAAAAGCAGAAGCCTCCACAACCTCTGGTGTTTTGCTTTGAGGCACTGGAAACGGCTGCACTGTGGGGAGGACTGAGTCCTATGTGGCAGTGCCATGCTCTTCCGTTAAGGATCTGGGATTCCTTGCTAAGCTACATTTTGCCTGCAAGATAATAATTAGACAAGTTTCCTGGGCCTAGATGTTGATCTTAGTGCAGTATGTGCTTCTGCAGTTTCTGAGAATTTCTGGTTAGAGAGAAGTGAAAAACAGCATTAAGATTTAGGTTCACGTTTGTGACAGCCACCCAAACCAAGTACTTTTGAGATAAGGCTGTAGTTTTGCCCTTAAATTATTTCATTTTCACCTGCAAGTGTTGCAGAACTTGATTTCAAAATACTGAGCTGATGTAGGGTCACTATGGTAAGCAAATACAGCAGAGGGAGATAAAATTGATAAGACATTCATAGCTCCATGTTCTCTTGTCATTCCCCACTGAAGCCACGCAGGTGTTTCCATGCATTTCTTTACATTTCTTCTCTGTGCCAGGCTTTGAAATTAAAACCTCTGGAACCTCTGCTTGGCTGCTTGCATTGGATCAGGCTATTTTAGGGAAAGCTCCCTGCTTCCATACAGTACACAAATGCACAATGAATGGACACATGCAGCTCGTGGATGTCTCAACACCACAGGTTCCACATAGAGAAAGCCTCATGCAATCTGGACAATGCTTTTCCAGCTCTCCTCAAAACATGTTTGGCCACTGTCACCCTTGTGTTTGCTGCAGAAGTTGTAATTTCAAAGCTGGGAAAGAGAGGCTGGAGAAGGTTGCCATGCCCCAAGTGCAATCAAAAGGTGCAGAGACAGCGTGGTGTCTGCAATTGGTGGTGCTCATTATTTTCAGATTGTGGACATTACTGGGAGCATACACCACACACTCAGTTTCATTACCTTCCTCCTTTACAAGAATCCAAGTAACTCGTTGCCCTGCCCTTCACACGAAAGTGGGCATTTTAACCACACCTTGGCCAAGAATTGTGTCTCCAGTGTGCTCAGCACGACTCTCTCGTCTGAAGCTCAAACACTTCCAGATGGCCAGAAAGACAAAAATTACTGCTCTTCAAAGATGTCCTGAACAGGTTTTCATTTGTCTAGTTTGTGGCTTATAGCCAGGCATTCTGGATGCTGCACATTCTGGATGCTTTGGGCATTATCAGACCATAGAGTGACCAGATGACAAAAAAATCCTGCTGTGCTCCCCATCCCATCCAGTGGAAGCTTGATGTTTCCATATCAGCTGCAGTATTTCCTTTACTGGAGTCACAGGGATCAACACAGCCAGCATCTCTTTTGATGCTTGAATGTTGTGGAGGAAAACAGACAGCAAAGAAAATCAGAGCAGACAAAAGTGTCTCTGGCAGGTAATGGGCACCACGACAAAGCAGTAACAAATGCAGTTTTGTAACATACAAATGGATGACATAAAGTTGAAATCAATTAAACTTGTGGAGAGCTTCTTTTTTTCCTTCAGGCAAGAATAGAAAGCTGTGCTAGGGGCAGGGGAAGTGAGAGGATTAACCTGCAGAATGAGGACTAAATCACAGGGAAAAGCAGTGACTTTAGCAGAGCTGGAATACATGCTCAGCAGAGCCTGGGCCAAGCCTGGGAGAAGACATATCAAGATGGCTCCTGGGCACTGTAAGGACAGAGAGAGCCCTGCCTGGTTCTTGTCCATCCCTGTCTGGAGCACAGCACCCAACATGCCAAGTTCTAACCCAAGCACATGCTGTTAAGCAAAGCTTGAGACCACTGAAATGGGGATGTGTTAATGACAGCCTTCATAATAGTGCCAGCTTTATTATATAGCCTGCAGATGAGCCCTCAAAAGCGTTGGAAGGTCTTCCATGTGTGTGCATCATAGAATCATAGAATCACAGAATGGCCTGGATTGAAAAGGAGCACAATGCTCATCCAGTTCCAACCCCCTGCTATGTGCAGGTCGCCAACCAGCAGCCCAGGCTGCCCAGAGCCACATCCAGCCTGGCCTTGAATGCCTGCAGGGATGGGGCATCCACAGCCTCCTTGGGCAACCTGTTCCAGTGCCTCCCCACCCTCTGGGTGAAAAACTTCCTCTTAATATCCAACCTAAACCTCCCCTGTCTCAGTTAAAACCGTTCCCCTTGTCCTATCACTCTCCATCTTGTAAACAGCCGTTCCCCCTCCTGTTTATATGCTCCCTTCAAGTACTGGAAGGCCACCATGAGGTCTCCCGAGAGCCTTCTCCAAGCTGAACAAGCCCAGTTCCCTCAACCTTTCCTCACAGCAGAGCTGCTCCAGCCCTCTGCTCATCTCAGTGCCTCCTCTGGCCCCGCTCCCAGAGCTCCACATCCTTCCTGTGCTGGGGGCCCCAGGCCTGGACGCAGCGCTGCAGATGGGGCCTCACAAGAGCCGAGCAGAGGGGGACGATCACCTCCCTTTCCTGCTGGCCGCCCCTTTTTCATGCAGCCCAGAACACAGCTGGCCTTCCGGGCTGCAGGCGCACACTGCTGCCTCATGGCCTGATTCTCTCCCACCAGGACCCCAAGTCTTCCTTTGCTGGGCTGCTCTCGAGGAGTTCTTCTTCCAGTTTGTTTTGGAGTAGCACTCTGCCATCACTACAGGAAAGGCAAGGGAGAGATGCTCTTCAAGCAAACTTTCAAGGGATCATCTACCCTCTGCCAGTCAGATGGGAGGGGGTGACCTCAGAGACAGTGAGGGATGGAAAGAAGTCCCTGTTCAAGGCAACAAGCAGACTGCCTCTCAGCCTGTCCACCTTCCCAGGTGCCCTTACATAGCAGGTATGAGGCTCTGGAGCTGGAGGGACAGGGGGATGTGGATGTGGGTGAAGGTCCACCCACACAGGAGAGATTGCCCGGGGCTAATCAGACTGCTCCCTGTATTGCTGCAGTGTCAATCAGGAAGGGCTGTCATCATATCCTTTCATAGGGGAACCAAGGATCCGTCCCACAGGGAGATGTGTTGCCTGCAGGTTAGCAAGGCTTTAAACTAGATATGTTGGGAGAAGGGGATTACTGGGTGACAGAGAAGAGCATGGGAACGCCGTCAGCTTGGGAGGTGGAAGGGGAAAACCCCAACTTGTTCTAGAGGTATTAGGGAGGGCTCCTCTGGGAAGGCAACGATCACATATTAAAACATGTGTTTGAAAGTATCAGCCTAAATCAGATTCACATCTTTGGCTGTTGTGGTTTCAGCTGAGATAATTTTCAGTGCTGTGTTTTGGACTTAAATGAGAATTATGTTGATAACACAGCAATGTTTCAGTTGTTGCTGAGCAGTGCTGCACAGGGCCAAGGACGTTTCAGCTTTTCATGCTGGGGGGAACAAGGAGCTGGGAGGGGACAGTTTAGAGCAGCTGACCTAAACCAGCCAAAAGGCTGACCAATACTACATGAGTTCATGATCAGCAATAAAAGTAGGGTTTGGGGAGCAGCTGCTGCTTGGAGAGATTGGCTGGGCATTAGCAGGTGGTGAGCAATTGTTTCGGGCATCACCTGTGTTGCGCATTCTTTTTGTTGTTACTGGAGATTTTTGTTAGCTCTCCTTCCCTTCCCTTCCTTTCGCTTCCAACTCTTGCTTATTAAACTGTCCTGCCCCAACCCAGTGAATTCTTGCACTTCCCAGTTCTCTCCAGCATACCACAGCAAGTGAACAGCTGTGTGGTGCTTAGCTGCCTGCCAGGTCAAACTGTGAGACTGGCTTAAAAGGAAATCTGAAGATCCATCATGGTGAAGATGATGTTAGATAGACAGAGTGCCCTTTTAGACCACTTGCAAAAACAAAGCTGGTGTTTGGGTGTGCTGCGCACTGGCCTGCTTGCAAGTGTGAACTTTCTGGGCTGTAGTTTTGTCACTAAGGGAGGAAGAGAAGTATTAAAACAATGACCTCTGGGCAACCCTGTGAGCGTTCATAATGGGTAGTGCCAGAATCATTAGTTTGGAAAGCTTCAGTTCATTCTCCTGCTGAGCTTGTGATGTGAGCAAAGCCAGAAAGAAAAAAAAAAAAGCCATCAGGAGAGCACAACAAAGCCTGCAGGCAGTGTGCAGCATAGGCAGCATGGAAATCGACCTTGACAGGAGACCATATTGTGGCTCTTCACAAAAGGTAGGCATGGCTCACTACCCCATCTGGTGGGAGATGGCACACTGGGCAAAATGGGTACACATGCTCATAAATGCTATTCTTTTTCCTCCTGTTGGAATCCTTCATTTGCTATATAAGAAATAGTCAACTTCAAGCATTGCCTTTGGTCATTTTATCAGTAAAAAAAAGACAGAAGAGCTCTAAGTAAGGGCTGGTAGGCAGCAACGATAGATGCAGATAAGGTGATAACCAGTATTTTCAGCAGAAAAATGAGAGTGAAGCAAAGACCAAGCAACAACAGCAAAGCAGAACATCACTGAGGGGAAGCCTAAAGCAAAGAGAATAAAATGTCAAAGCAGCAAGGAATAGTCTAAAGAACCAAATTTATGGCCATATAAAAACTAGCTTGATTTCCACCTTACCCATTGCAGACGTCATTCCCAATTGTAGCATAGATAACTATGGCTGGATTGTCCAACAGTTGGTTTCTGGCCAAGCTGAAAGGTAAATCAGCAGCATATTAGTGGGCAATACATCCTCAGAGCCTGAATCACATGCTGCATGAGTTCATGTTTGGAAGTAGTTTGTTCAGATTTTGCCAATGCTCAGATGGCTATCATTCTAGGTTTTGTTTTGTTTTGTTTTGTTTTTTCTTTTCTGTAATTTTATATTTTAATCAAGGTTCTCACATTAATTTTTTCCTCATTTCACCCCTTATGGATTTTTCTCTTTCACTGCCCCTCTTGCTGGCTTTGTATCTCTGTACTATTCAGAAGCCAAATCAAGCAGTTTCATTTCAGGGCAAAGACATAAATCAAGCTGTGAAGTTTTTAATTAGAGATGGGACAAAACTGTATGTGTGGCTGACAACTGCATTTATGGATGGGATTGAGCACAATATCAAATTAGGATGTGGCTTGAAATTCAGCAAGACAGAGGAATGATTCATTAATGTTTGCTTTTTTTTTTTTTTTTTTTTTTTTTTTCTGCAGGGGAGAACTGTAAATCTTTCAGGAGTGAAGTGCATCAGTGTAGAGAAGGCTAACCCTAAGCCTGACCCTAACCCTAAACCAAACCCAACCATTCCATAGCCATCAAATTCATCTGAAAAGGAATGATTCTTCCTCTCCATGTCCGGTAGCTACTCAATTCTATCCATACAGGGATAATACTCCAGGCATGCCCACGTCCATCACATTGCTACTAATTGCTACTAATTCTAATTCATTGCTACTAATCAGGAGCAATGTGGTCAGTGAGATCCATAGGATAGATACAAGGCAAAGCTCAACCTTTTCCTGAAATCCATGGAAATGCCCCACTGGCTTAAGATTAAGGCCTTGGAGTTGGTGACATCCACATTTTAAGAGTTTTTCCTCTCTTAATGAATGCTGGTACTGTAGAGGAAACAGACAGCACTTCGGAGCACAGTGGCCTGGTGAAGTTGTGCTTCTCGAGGCACTTGTGGATAATGCATTCGCTGAAGGGCCCTACTGCTTCCATTTGAGGGTGTAGGATCCCACACACACTTCTGTACCTGCAGTCAGCATTCAGAATCCCATCAAACACTCACCTTTTTATTAAACCGAGGAGATTTCGTGAAGAACCACCTGATCACATGCAGCGGGAATAAGAGGAACAGTAAAAAAAAATCATTACAGGGACAAATAAAGGGAAAAGCAAAACCCAATTCACTGCACATTTCTAAGAATGTAGAAGTGTTAAAAATAAAATGGCAGCAGCAAGTGCCTCTGCAACCTTCTTGTGCGCCAGCATTAGGAAGTAAAGCTGCATCCAGTACCTGCTGACTCTCACCTGAGTTCACACATCAGACCGTAGAAAGTCAGACACTTACAAGTGTTGGGTTGTTTGGATCTGGCTTTTAATCTAGATCTGGCAGCTTCTTCCCATCTGTTGAACATAGTAGTCTCTTGTAAACCAGCCAACCTGACTTGTCAACAGTTGATCTACTTTTAACTTTTCCTATAAACTGCAAGAGGAACTGTTCTCACTCTCCTAAGTGTCTCACAGCTATGTCACATTGGGAGTGATTCAGGTCCTAAACATAGGCACCAAGAGCCATTTTTGACATCCCAGGGTACCCAGGACGCCTGCAGCAGGATTGGCAGATACAACACAGGATGCCTGTGAGATTGTGCACTTCTGGAGGGGCAGCTGGCAGTGGGAAATATTCTGCAAAGACTCTCTGCTTTGCTACAGCACTAGGCACCAATGTTGGGGTGTTTGCATCGCTGCTGCCACCAGTGGCAGACTTATGAAAAATAGTATTAGGCCAGCTGCAATGCTCCATAAAAGCTCTGCATTTCATTAGCAATTCACCCAAATGGTTGGGTGCAACGTTTTCCTCCTCTAGGAAAAGAACTAGCTAAACCTAAGCATCTGTAAAGGTATACTGCATTTCATTAATGCCTTGAATAAGAAAAGCATTTCCCAATCAAGAGAGCTTTTATGCATAAAACTTTCAACCAGGCCTTGCTAGAAAGTGTATGCATCCCAGCTGTCTGCAGCACACAAGTCAAACTCTGTCACCTGCACAACAAGAGTGGCAGCAAAAAAGCAGCCAGGAGAAGCATGGTGCTTTGTTCAGGATTGGACCGGGACTGTGACAGCAAGCAGCTCACCCACAGCATGATTCAGGAACATGAACTTCAGAAGAGAAGGCCCTGTGCATTGTACTGGCCTTTATTTTGTCGCATTTTCACTTTCTCTCCTCTTTTCTCCCTCTTCTTGTATCACACTCCGCTCAGCTCCTCCCTGCTCTCTCCTTTTTTCTGCATACTGCCTTGAAGCTTGCTTTGAGGAGCAAATCCGGTCCTCCCGTGGTTTGCGGGGGGAAAGTTGTGGGCAGAACATCATTAAATCTCCGCTGGACTGGTGTTGTGAAAAGATCTAAGAGATAAACCCCTAAGGTAGCAATAATACACTTTGCATTTGAATAGAAGTGTCTTTGTTACTATCGCCAACTGCATATATCACAAAATCCTTTATGTTTTAAATAATCCAGTTCTTCCAGGCTAAAAATGAATGTCTCTCTCTGCTCTCTCTCTCTCGAGGGTTGCTAGTCCAAGCAAAATCCACTTCTCCTGTTGAGAAGCCCTTTTCAGCAGAATAAGAGCTCCACACAATCCTTACAAAACACGGCTTGGAACAGAAAAACCACTAGCTGTCTGGTTTTTTTCTGCTTAATATCCTTTCAGCAAGAATTCAGCATCTCTCTGTTAAGCCGCTCTGCCGCATGACTCCCTGAACTGAGTGCTAGTGCAAATAAATTAATTGGGATCTCTGGAAATTAAAGATGTATTTGCAAAAGCTAAGAGGCTCTTCTTGGGTAGGTGCTACCTCCATGAGTGTAAATAGTGAAAAGCAGCTCAGCACGCTTATAGACCGAGTCAAAAGACTGAGAAAATGAAGGGCTTTCATAGAGAGCATTTTCTTATGAGAAAACTGAGTTATTAAGGAAGTTTTTATAATCTAGGTTGCAATTTCTGAAGAAAACATTCAAGAGAGAAGAAAGAAATCAGGCAGAATGAGTGTTTGAACTTCTGTTACCCCTGCATTGCAGAATGCCTGCCGTCTCCTCCTGGACCTCTCCTCACCTCCCCTTAGTTGCTTTCCAAACATTTTCAGACTGGTGGCACTTTTGGTGAGGAGTCAGGGTTGGTTTTACTTCCACAACCCCAAGTTTCACAAGCCTTGAAATTCTTCTAAGGTGTGCTTTGCTTGGTTTGCTTGCTCAAGCCCTTGTATGGCTGACAATGTGCAGTGTGGACCTGCACAGATAGAGTCTGGGTCCAGATAGCACTGAAAGTGCTGCATGGCTAAGAAAGGCTTCTGCTTTCTCATCTTTTGCTCCCTTATGCTGTGAAAGCAATTAGAAATGCAGTCGTGTAAAAGAAAAATAGTTTCTGATTTCCCCCAAGTGAACTGTGAGCACAGTAGAATTTCTAAGACAGCCAAAATCTAAAAACTCCACAAAACCATGATTCTTTCTAAACTGGTTTCAAAGTCACCATGAGGTACATTGATTGCTCAGAGAGCCATGGCATGTGTTAACGTGGCTGATTTTTTCTCATCGAAGGCAAAAATCCCAAAGAGACAGATCAGACTATGAGTAGCAAAGTCATACACAATATAACCACCATCTTTAACAGTGTACAATGTCCAAGTATCTCATGGAAAACACAGATGAGAATCACAGAATTGTTCTGTAATTATTTAGAAATTCTTCAGAAATGAGGGTGTTCACTTTCTCCATATTTACTTAGTGATACTTTGGAATATTTGAGCAAATCATTGTACAGAACAGGATGCTTCTATCAAAGGGGTTTCTACATGTGCTGGGACACATTCGAGCTCCATGTCTGAGCTTCCAGGCCCAATTCTCACATCTTAGGATCAACCTTAGTCAGTCAAAACCCAGCAATAACCTATGGATTTGCAAGCACGTGTGAAGATGCCAGAAGTCGAGACACCAAAATCATACTGGAAAGGATGAATGAAGAAATTAAAATGTTGATGGAGAACATTGATTAGGAGTGAGAGCAGATTGCTGTGCATCCACAGTCGGCCCACACCTCCAGAATTTCTTTCTTTCATTGCATCTCTCTGGGTCAGCACTGGTTATGGAGAAGGATAAGTTCCCCCAGCTGGTGCTCAGTCAAGCTGGTGGTCAGTTTTATCTTCACTGATACCAGCAGTGCCAATTTAAATCCTCACATTCTGTGGAACTATTATGCTGAACAAGGCAAGAAGAGCAAACCTTTTACAATATTGTGTTCACTGTGATGATTAAGAGAAGATACCAAGGGATGATCCCCTGAGATTTTTCTATCGCTTTGGTAATTTTCCTCCTTTTTAAATTCCCTTCTCAATTTTCTTCACATCCTTTTGCCTTGTCACAGGCTCCTCTCCTTTTGTATCATGCAGGAGTCTGCAGTGTAAGTATGAGAGAGAGAAGTATAAAAAGGAATGGTGCATACAATGAGATCTCTCTTTTTTATTTTTTATTTTTATTTTTTAAGTTTGTGAGGTAATTGGGAAGATAGAAAAAAGGAAGGCACATCTATTAACTTAAACAGAGGAAAACAAGGTGATAGGTTATCAGACATTGAGGTTAATTCACTATAAATGAGAATGGTTGGCCTCCTCTAATTTGGCCTTTTTTTATTCCCTCGCCCAAAAAGTTATCTGAGGGACAGTGACCATGAATGCCACCAACTACAAATGCCAGGTGAGTAGGTCAGGAGTACCTGTAGGCAACCATGACACCAAAATCACTGCCAAAAAGACCGAAAGTCTCTGAAACATCCCACAGGCATCAAATGGTAGGAAAGCATACAGAGGCATTGCCAGTGACAAAGGTGATGGCATCCAAGGGGAACTTCTCCAAGGGAAAAGCCCACCTGAATTTTCAAGGGAAGCCTTGTCTCATGCTGCCTGTTGAGGAACTTATTCCACCCAGTGAGACAACTGGCTGTTAGGGCTGGGGGCATTTAGCAAGTTTCTAGGTAGCATTAGGGACAGAGGTGCTCCTCATGTATGGCCATCAGGACTCAGGTCAGTGAGGGGAAATATCCCTTAAACTAAATTATCCACCCAAGGAGAACAATTTTTCCCTCATTTCTGCAGCCAGATTTCTGAAGCATTAAAACTAATTGAACACAATGCAAACAGAATGCGATAATAACAGAATAATCAAGTATCTTTTAAACGTACTGCTGGGAACATCATTTAGCCCAATGCAAAATAGCTAACATAATAAACCTTAATTTCAAAGGCAGATTGCTGTGTCCCTTCAAGAAAGCACAAACATAATTTGATTATAACAGATGTAATCAAACTCCATTTTGAAGCAATTCATAGTTTCCTTTCACCCCCACTGTTCTGTTTTGAGGCCTATTTAAGGTTTTCACTCTTAGGTACTGACCTTTTTTAAAGATCCCACCACAAACAATAGTATAACTAATGAAAAACCTACTTGCACCAGAAGTGTCCTTTAGTTTGAACCATTCTTCCCTCTTTGTGGTGTTCACACCAGAACCGTAATCCCTTTTAATCTCTACTAAGGTGTTTTAACATCAAGCTGTTCCCTTGAAGGAGTCGACAGCTCCTCCCAAATCAGTATCATCTGTAAACTTAAATAACATGCATTCGAGCACTGCGTCCAGATTAAAACACTAAAATGGAGCCCTGGGAAATCTCACTAGAGCCTTGCCACCAGCCTGATGTAACTTCACTATGACCCTTTGAGCCTGATCCGTCAGCCACTTGTTCACCCACTGCATTATGCTTAGCCTACTCTTCGCTGGACATTTTGTCTGGAAAGATATTGTGAGAAGCATTTTCAAAAAGCTTAACTGAAATCCAAAAATATTACATCTACTGGCTTCCCTTGGTCAAATAGATGGGTAACCTTGCCATAAAAGGAGATTCACTTCATTAAACAGGACTTTCCCATCATGAATCCATGTTGGCTGTGACCAACAATGTCAACGAGGTGTTTTTCAGTAACTCTCAGAATAATAATTGCTACAATTCCAGCAGGCACTGAAGTGAAACGGACAGGCCTGTAATTATCAGGACCTCCTTTTCTTGTCCCTTTTGAAAATTGGGATGTTTATCAGCTTCCAGTCAACTGAGACTTTTCCAGGTTCCCAAGACTATTGAAAAATACTTGAGAGAGGTCTCACAGTGACATCAGCCAGCTCTTTGAGCATGCTGAGATGAATCCTATCAGGCCCCATCCAGATGCAGCAGCAAGTCTAACATAATTTCAGGGTTGGCTGCAAGTTTATAGTTACCACAGTCATGATCCCAGATCCCACCATCAGTGTGGAAGATGAAGAATTATACATCTGTGCTTTGCCTGCATCCCTATTTGCGAGGTGACCATCCTCATCAAGTAACACAATAATGTTATCTTTGGTCCTTTTTTCTCTGTTACCATGTTTTAAAAAGTCCTTTTTGTTGTCCCTCACACTACTGGCCAGCCTCAACTCTAATTGAGTTTTGACTGCATTTACCTTCCCCTGCAATAGCAAGCAGCATCTTTGTAGTACTCCCACATTGCCTGACCTTGCTTCCAGTGCCCATACACTTTCTTTCTCTACCTAAGCTGCAGTCAGCACTTCACCCTTGAGACACTGTTTACAAGCAACAAAACTAGGGGGATATTTTGACTCTTTAGGTCCTTAGAAGCAAAATAACAACAAATTTCTCCATGTAACAATGCTTACAGAATAATGATTTACTCAAAACATATTTCCAGCAGGGATATATGAAAAAATCATTGCTGCCTACAGAATTTAACTGCTACATTAGGTAAGAACAGCCTAGGAGCTACAGTACCACGCAGGTGTTGAGGTAGATGAGTTTAATTCCCAGCTCTGCAATAGTCTGAGATGGCTTGTAAATCACTTCATGTCTCTGCACATGAAATAGCATGAACACTCTTCTCATTGTCCTTCACTATTAAAGCATGCAACTTGACCTCAAAGTACTGTTAATAGTATAAAAATGGTCATTTAATACACAGTTAAGTAGGCTTCATTTGCATCCTTAAAGGGTGCTCTGAAACTACACGTTCCTTAAACTTCTAATGGAAATAGACAGCTGGGTAGAAGATACATCTCTAATACTGGAAGCTTTACTAACAGCCCCACAAGTTAAAAAAAAAAAACAACAAAACTGTCAAATGAGTGTAACTCAACTGGACACACAAAGGAAAAATATCAGCAAAGTGTTTCATAAAAGTGCAGATAGAAGTGATCAAGGATAGATGCTGAGTTAAGTAAGTGCTGGTCTCTATTTTTCCACAAGACATGTAGGTGATTAGGAAGGGTTTTCTCTTAGTTTCCAAAAGATGCTTATGAAAGTCACCTCAAGCACCATACTAATAGGATTTCTTTTTAAAGGTTAAAAAATCTTAACGTACCATTCTGGGAAATGTTCTGTAGGTCTCGGTGATTGCAGCGATTTCTCCTGCGTAAACGTAGATACAGAGAGTCTGTCCAGCCTCTGAAACAAATTAAGAATATGTGAGCTGCTAGGCTCGTATGATGTGAATGAAAACATCAAATGCTATAAAAAGAAGTATGTTCTTGACATCAACAACTCTGTTCACCAGCAGAAAATATAAGTCAATTCTACCGTTTCTCTTTTTTGTGGTCATAAAATTATATTATTTTGAAGAACGTGGCCTAAAATGGAAGACTGAATATTCTCTGGGAAGCTATAAATGGATGGTGAGTTTCTTTGGAATGTTCATTTTGGATTCTTTTATCCTGATCTTTCAGACAAGGTCCTTAAGAACCTATTCGTTATATGTTTTTTATCAAAACAATCCTGTTGATTGCTCACTAATTGGCTTTTCAATAGTCAGCTGTGGAACAGTGAAAAAAAAGGAAAAAAAATTGGCAGGGCATTCATTCCCAGAGACATAAATCTTAGGTGGATTGATCTGAAAACCACTTCTGCCTTGATTTTGATCAGTTTTATCCTGCACTGTTGAGAAAAATGAAAATGCAATGAAAAGGATAACAAAGCCAGCAGAAGCTGATGAGAATGTCATGCTCTGAGTCACAGTTACCTAGTCACTGTTACTGGGGATGTTGATCTTGTATTTGAACTTAGATAGTGAAGTTTTCAGGTAATTGCAATATCATGGCTCAAGAACAGTCAATTGAGGTGAATGCAGAAGAACATAAAACAATAGTAAGTGTTGAAATCAGCAATAAAAAGTAACTACCTACATAGACACACTTGATAACACCAACCATTAACCATGCAATTGGCTGCACCAGGAATGCAGGAGATCTCTGCCTTTCAGCATAGCAGTGGGGGGATGAGGGGAAGCAAACAAAACTTCTTGGCTATAGCAGACACTCCTCAGCTCATCAGTGATGTACATCCTCACTGATTGGGGGTAGGAAGGTTGGGCCTAGGCCATATTTGTTTGCGACTCTATTTCTGCAGGCCTGGAGAGAGAATAGAAGCCTTTCTGCAAGCGGTGCTCTCCCAAAGCACATTGCCTGCTGGTCCCTGCAAACTCAGCCATTGCGTTGGGAGATTTTGAGCTGCTTCTCTGAAAACTGCACTGAAATCCTAAGCAGTCCTTTTTTGCTTTCCAGACATGGAAGAGATTTAAAAAACAGACTGAAAACTCAATGCTGATCCAAGGCCTATTGCTGGCACAGGGTCGCTGCTAAGCTCTGGTCTGTTTCTAACTTCAGATCTTTTGCCACCCAGTTAAATGCTGAGTTCTGATTAGCCTGATGTTGTAATCGATTTGTAAAGGCTGGTTTTGCTGGTAGTCATGAAAGAGGAGGCTGCATAGATTTTCTCTGTTAGCTCGTGAAGTGATACAGAACCTTTAAACATGTATCCTGTGCAGGTAGTTGAGGGAGCCCAGTTTGTGCACAGGCAGAAAAAAAGTACAGCTGCATGGCACAACAGATATTTTTCCTGGAAAAGAATATATTGTGTCAATTTATAAGTTCTTTTGGTAGAAGGCTTCTGTTGGTTTGGCCTCTGCTTGGTTTGGCATTTCATTGGATTCACGACCTACCTTTGATATATAAACTAAAAAACATTTGCCTGAACCCAGGCAAAACAAGGCACTGCTGATGAATTATATCCTTCAGCTCTGGCAAGAGACATGAGCCTCTTATGCTGGTCAGAAAGATGATTGAAGAAAATATATCTATTTTTTAAATTTAACAATTCAAAATGCAGACATTCCAAGGAGTTTTTATCATGTTTGCACTTTGCACTTTGTGTTCCTTCCCTTCTGAGACTTAGACTTCTTTCCTCCATCTATCCCAGCAGTCTTCCCCATTCAAAAGAAGAAATTCAACAAAGCAAATGAAGTCATATAATTTTCCAAACTATTCTTTTGCTGCTTTCTACTAGATGGAGGAAAAAAAAAAAAAGCACACGGAAAAAAGACTGCCCCACCTGCAGAAAAAGAAATACCATCAAAATAACCACAGGTTATCACTTATTCTACTGTTTCAAGAACAAAAATAAAACAGGAGAAAAGGGTGCAAAAAGAAAGGAAAACGCTGATCTTTGTTATTCTTATCTATTTTTTTCTTCTCACAGCTTTGGAAGTTTCAAAAAAGCCAGATTTCATTTTTTTAACGTCTTCCTTTTATTATTTTCCTCACAAGCTATAATTTGATCAGCTCTAAAAGCACACAGAATTTCAGGAAGACTGGGCTAGGTGACTGAGAAGTGTACATTTACTTCAGGTTTTTAACACGTTGCCAGATCAGAGGGTGACCTTGATTTTAGAAACCCATCTGTCCAGCATTTTTTGTCTTTTCTTCCAAGCACTGCTTTTTTGTTGCTTTCGAGGCTCACTATGGCTTCTCCTCCCTGTCCATTAGCTTACCCAATGGTGGAGTTTAGGAACCCAGTGATCTCCGAGAACTGGGGCCAGTCAAGCTCATCGGTGAAAGCCATGGGGAGATTAGCAAACGATTTCTGAAAAAGAAATTTTTAAATCAACTTAATTTCACCTTTACAGACAAAAAACACAGCAATTACAATGATGGTTATAGTAGTAATTATTTAAGAAGCTGCCTCTTGCACAATGGACATACCAAGAGGCAGAGAAGGGAGAAGCAGAACCAGGGGCATTCAGAGATGTCTGAGTTGCATCTACCAACTCTTTGATTCTGGAGGATTCCAAAGCTCTTCCTGAGTTGCATCACATGTTGCAGATGGACACAACCAAGATAACAGCTGTTTGCTGCCTTTCCAAAGGTGAGTACACCCGGACAAAGGAAGAGATGGCAGTGCTTTGTCCACAGTCTCTCTGGCAGATGGACGGGAAGGCAAGGATGATGCTGAACTCACTCCAAGCTCCCTTGCAATCTCCAGCAGCACGAGCTGTGAGCATCCAGTCCCTAAAAAACTCTACAATGCAAATGTCTTGTTCTTCTGCTGGTCTTTGTCCTCAGTTTATTTATTTTTAAAATGTCTGCCTCTGTGTGGTCACACACTCAAAATGAAGTACCCTGTTTGTCTACCTTTCGATTTGTGACAGTGCAAAAAGTGATGAAAGAGAAAAATGGCCTCCAGAAACTGTGCTACTGCAGAAGGACGAGAATATGGAGTAAATTTGCAGCTTATCCCAGACTGGGCTGGGCTCACAAAGACAAATGTATAAATTCAACATGCTCAAACTGAAAAAACCGCTGACGAAAATAGCAATAACCAAAGAAGGTCAAAACATAAAATAAGAGAACTTACAGGCTGGTTTAATCTATGTAATTTATTAGCTTCATTTTCTTTTAAATCAGTTGTAGGGGTTTCCTTAAACCATCACAGCTATCAACTGCAAGCAGGCAGAAATTCGTTCTCCAACAGGGTCAGAGTTAACTGAAAGCTATTCTCAGTGTCTCAAAAAGTCTTTATTCCCACAAAATTATCATTTAAGTGAATAGGAGCTTTACTTGAGTATACGATTATGGGCTTTATATGTAAGAGGCTGGGAGGAAAAGAGGAGGAGAGGCAAGAAAGGGGGGGCAAGAGGGAATGAAATCCTGAAGCTGAGCTCAATGCAGCCTAATGCATGGCAGATGCCAGCATAAAGCATGTAACAGCCTATCTGACCTACTTATGGAGGCTCTGCATTAGTTACCAAGGTGAAAATGGGTCTGGCTTAACAGCTTTCAGTGGCTTTTCTCTCATATATATATATATATATATAAATATATTTATATATATAATCTCTCATATAATCTCTCATATAATATATATATAAATATATATATATATTTGTGTGTGTGTGCTCTTGCCTGTAGCTGCATATATGCACATGTGTATATTTTAAAGATGGGAAGGAACTTCTGAACCGCTCACCCTAAAAAGCAATAGCTTTATTTGCAAGCAGACACTTGATCAAGGGGCTAAGCTCAACTTGGTCATTTGCTGCACTTATCTCCCTTAGATTGGCTGTGAAGACAACAGAAATATTGAAAGAAGTAACAATATAGGACAAGCTATAGATATGATTTTTTATCAAACACATCATACACCGTATAGAGTCCAAATGTATTTTTCTATAACCAAGACATTTTTCTGTATTTTTCTGTCTACCATTTTTTCATACTATCACTCCAGAATAATGTTTTCATTGGACAAAGCCCTTAATAATTTTTAACTGTTTTTCCCCTGCAATCTTAGCTTAAATATGAATTAGCCAGAATCTAATTAAGTTGCAAATTGCTCTGGAAAGGAACATTTGAGCCCAGAATTATAGCTGCATTTGAAAACTGTAGATAGGTTTGGCATTGACATCGCTCCAGCAAAGTATTTAAGTCAGACTTTTGAAGATGTTTCAGGACTGAAAGGTGGAGATGAGCAGTTAATTTCAGATGAATGCTAGACCTTGAACTTGCAGAGCTGCAATTTGGAAAGCACAGCCTAACAGACTGCCTTTTGCTTAGTCTCAGATGCAAATGTGGCCCACAGTAGAGTTGGATCTACATTGACTTTTAGCTTAAAACTCCTCTCAGCACAGCCCTGTTTAAATACCATTCACTCAGCCTATTCTGGCTGAGAAACCATGCTTCAGCCTATGTGCCAGATTTTAGCAGAGAATGATTAGAAAGTTATTCCATGCTAGCTTCAAATGCTGTATTTTAGTCTCAAATGCCCTAGATGGGTCTTGATTCAAAGGAACCTTTACACCTCCTAGATGTGTCTTAGCTTGAAGCATACCTCCCCAAACCCTCCTCTTCCTCTTGCACTGCAAAGCCAAGGCTGATGCTAAAGACACACTGAGCCATGCTGGACAAAATCATTCAGATTTTTAATTAAAATTCAAATTAAATGGAAGAATGCTCAGTGTTGCTAAGGCAAGATATTTTCAAAATCAGACCACAAAAGGGCACCAGAAACTTAATGATAACAGAGCTATTTAGATGCAGAAGTTGTGAAAGTGCTGAAGTACCCCTTTATCTGAAGGAAAATCAGGTATTTGTTTTTATAGTCATTTTAGCAGTGTAAAGTTCCTCTTGACAGCACTACACACCTGAGACAATGTTCTTATTATGAAAATAAGCTTAGAGCTCCTGAGGAGGAAACATCCCATCTTTTCATGAATCATGAGTGGCATGCAAAGTTGCAAGGGCTATAAATGTGAAATTAGAAACATTATCACCTTATTTCTCCAAAATACAGCATGTAATTTTAATGCTAGCTGGGAGAAACTTGGCTGCAACTCACCAGATTTACAGAGAAGCTAGAACATGTTTTGAATAAGATTTTCACAGATCAAATTGCTGTTATTTCTATTGGGGCTGAAAAAAAAAAAAAAAAAAAAAAAAGTGAGAGGGTAAATGTTCCTGAACTCAAATGTAAAGAAATGTTGCTTTTTATATTTTCGTTGGAAATATGCAGCAGTAGCTTGTTACTTAAACGAGATATGCAAAGATACTGCGTTTGTGGGCAAATAGACATTTACTGAACTACAGATAGATGGATGAGGGATTTATTTTCGTCTTTATTTAGCATGAAATAGAGATTCAAGAGCTTTTAAATTCATCTTCCTAGAGAGGATAACTCCAGCTCCTTTGTAAATAGACTGCTTTTATCTCCAGATAAAATGTTTTCTGAAATGAGATTTAAAAGTGAGCTCCTATCCCAGACATATAACAGAAAAATGCTGCATTTAGTAGCTATTTGGAAGTCAATTACAAGCAGATGGACAGAGCAGCAGGAGTGCAATATCCATGGCTAGACACACCAGTGTTTTGAACATTAAAATTCCACGAAAAAACATCCACCTCAGACAAAACCAACAGTGTTCCTTCTGCTTTGTTAAACCTCATGAAAAGCAGGCCTGCTGCATTACACTTAATTTTTAGTGTCAGAATTTTTATGTCTAAGGAATGAACGTTCAGCTCCGTTCTTGCTGAAGAAAGGAGAAAGGGCTGGCAGACCTAAGACCGGTTGACAAGAAGGAAGCCAAAATAATCCTTTGTACAGTTGAATAACTCCTTTCCTGTAATTCTTCTACTTGGGGTGCTTAGGGATTAGAAATAACGTGCTTATCTGAGCAGAAGCTTTCAATGGACACCTTCCACAATGAATTTAGTGGGAGGAACATCCACAAAACATGACTATAACTTCCCAGCTGGACGGAGAAATACAAAGTCCAATATATAACATCTTCTCATACAGCTGCTTCCCAGCAGCAGTCTTTGAGAAGATAGAGCAAGGATCTGAATTCCAAATTGTTCAGCCTAAACCAGGTGCTCATCTTCTGGCCACCCTCTGCTGGTCATCCAATGATCTGAATGACAATCTGAGCCCACCTCAGTGTAGAAGTTTCTCTTTAATATTCTCATTCTTTCCTCACTCAACTTTGCTGCTCCTTGGCATGGTAGCATAATCAGACAAAGCACCAGAGCTGCCGAGCCTCTTAACTGAATTCTCAGCACCTCTCCTCTAAAATTATTTCCCCACATAATTAGCTCTAACGCAGGAATTAACAGCTGCTGCTGATGTGGTGCTGATTAACAAGAGGGCCCACAGAGTTGTTAAAGTGTAAATTTTACTTTACCCTTGCATATGTGTATGCGAACACATGTAAGGATAAATATGAAATACATTAAATATATAAAGCATACAAAATAAATATGTAAAATACAGAAAATTGGTGAGGTAATAAAAAACTGAATTTCGTGAATTTGAGTTAAGAGGCACATAACGTTTTCCTTGGAAAGTAGTAAAACTCTTGGGGGGGAAAAGCCCTACTTGGAATTCTATGTAGAGGACTGAATCACCATTGAAATGGAAATTAAAGCTTTGAACTCCCTCTACTATTGACTACAAAAGAAACCATTTTATCAACTAATTTTCCAACATGTCCTATCAAAGAAATTTTGTCAGAATCTGAGTGAAATGCCTTAAGATTGGCAGCAGGTAGACAAAGTCAATGCACTTTCCCCTCCTTGCAGAGCCCAGATGTCAGGTTCTTCTTGCTGTGGTCCCAAAATTATGGATGGTTCTGTGAGAGCACGATTTAGACCCTCTGCACCCTCTCTAGTCACAGAACCAGCCCTAGGTGTGCTCAGAAATTCTTCACAAGGAAGAGAGCATAAAGAAAGTGCCTGCTGGCCATGAAATGCATATTGTGACCAGCCCCAGAGCACACTGCTATTTTTTGGCTTTTACAGGAATGGAGAAACATGGCCTACTGTTTTAACCTTTTCATTTTTGCATTTGAAAGAGGGAGAGAGAGACGAGGAAAGGAAGATGAGAGGAAAGAAGGGATATTTCTTGGTCAGGTATCTCTCTGCAAAGTTCTCAGGTAGCATGCAACTACACATGCTTTTATTCTTCTCTCCCTTTGCAGAAACATCCAGAACTTTTAAAAGCTCAAAATGACTGTTTTTCACTTCGTAATTAGACCTACACAGGAAGGACATTTACCAACAGGATGTAACACTATTTCTCAAGAAACATATTGCACTTTCTTGACCCCGAAGCAAGGTAAGCTGCTGCTACAGGCTTTCTACATACAGACAGAGTAAGATGTAGAAAGGCAAGAAAGAGGAATAGGCAGCAACAAAGAGGGATAAGCAGCATCAACTTCTGAATTAGCTCCAAGTGTTTTTTACTAGTAATTTCATTCACAGGTGACACTTTCCTTAGTTAGGGGTAGCTGCTAATTAAACATTTTAGCACTGCTAGTGTTTAAACACTTGTTAGTTCACAGCACTGAACTCTATCTCTGCATCAATATATCTGTTGTATGTTTGTTCAGTAGAAATGCTTGAATACGGTTGTATTTAGCTTCTTCAGTTCCAGCAATCCCTTAATTCCTTTTATTTCCTACACTATGGGTGAATGGAATGACTATGAAAGGCCAGAGTGAATGTGCCTTCGTCCTTGTTCCCCCAGTGCAGGGCTCATGCTCTGACTTAGAATAATGGAATCATTTATGTTGGAAAAGACCCATAAGATCACCAGGTCCAACCATCTCAAAACACAACCAGTTCCACCACTAAGCCACGTCCCTAAGCACCACATCCACATGTCTCATAAACACCTCCAGGGATGGGGATTTCACCACCTCTCTGGACAGCCCATTCCAGTGCCTGACCACTCCCTTCCATGAATAAATTCTTCCTGATCTGCAGTCTAAGTCTCCCCCGATACAACTTGAGGCAGTGAGTGACTCTATGGGAGAAGAACCATTTCTCCCTTTCCAACCAGCCCTTGCTCTTTCCAGCACATCATGGAGCTGGAGTTCAGTTCTGAGAACATCAATTCTCTACTTTACATAGAGAGGACCACGCAAGTTGCTCCACAGGCACCAGACAGTAACAACAGGCAACCTGAACATCATCTGCACTCCAGCACCAGGCCCTGATACTTGTGCCTCAGCATGCCATCTAGCTAGCAGAGAAACACTTTCTAAACCCTCATGTCAGTAGCAATAAAATGCTGACGTAGTCTAAAACTGTTCTTGCCTGCATAGCTCTGCCACCAGCGTTACTGCCAGAATCATCATCACCATCAGTGTTATTACCATCTTTATTAGACAAGATAATCTCAATTACCATTAGTGCTAATTTATTATGCTCATCATCAACTTTGTCATCAGTGTCATTCATCTAATAATTGCTCATAAACGTTTAACAAAGAAAAACAACAGCTAATTGGCAACATTTAAATCAGCTCAGCTCTGGGAGCAGAAGAGGGAAAAACGCATGGAACTCTCAGACCTACGGACCTACAAAAGCACAATAACTGCAGAAGTTTCAGGACAAAGGTGGTTCTCCAGAAATTTTTCATATTGCACAGAGGTCAGTGGAGGAGTAGTGGGAGATCTGCAGGGATGGAGGAGATGTGCAGAGGACGTGACACAGGCCAGGGAGCTGCAGCAGCTTGTGGAAGCACACAGCAACGAAGGACAGGAGCATGCCTGCAAATTTATCCCCCCCTTCTAATTACTGCTTGCTTAGATGACCTTTTCTCCTGTTGTCTCATTCAAATTAGTGACCTGCAAGAGCTGAATCTCGGTGTAATTCAGAGCTACGTGAATTATATGTCTGTTAAAAAAAATAGAAGCGCTGCCTAAAGACAGATATCAGTGTGCTAGTGATGCTCTGCACTCATTACAGAAACTGTTCCCTTTAGGACAAGTCCAGTGCAAACCCCTGGTGATCCCTACATGCCTGCAGACGTATTTGTGCAACAAGCTACAGAATCTGCGCACTGGAGCCCCCTGTCCTATTACACGTATGCCACAGATGAGGGAAAACAATCCAGGACACATTACAAAAGCAGGGGGAAAGCAAGCAGTGATTTTGGCAGGCCAGGTGCAGTTTCTCACCGCGGACATCTGCGTGACAGTCATCCACTCAGGTGGGATGTGGAAATGAGCGCCAGCCGAGTCTCCCAGCAGCACCACCCCCTGAGAGTCCGCACCTAATTAACACACTTGGTTAATGGCATGAAATGCTCCCAGCACGTAAAGCCCTCCTTATAGAGTAAGGAGGCAGAGCATGGAGAGCAAGGCTTGCAGAGCAACATCTACATGATTACAAAAAAGGAAAAAGAACATGCACCATTTTGCCTTGCTCATGAAGACAGGGGAGAACTGTCATCCCCCTACATTGACAATGATTAGAAAAACACTAAAATACAAAATGAACACAAAATAGACATTGTTCCTTGTACCAGCTTTAAAGCCTCACCTTTGCAGAACTTTTCCTCGTAGGGAATTCCATCTTTTGGATCCAGGCCCTGTTAAAGGAGGGAAAGGGCAGATGAACGTCTCTATCCAGTGCTCGAAAAATGGTAACACAAAATGGAAGCTTAGAATTTAGGTCTTGAATGTTTGCCTGCCGGAAGCACTGCATGGTAATAATGACACCTTGCACTAAATTATTCTAATAAGTTTACGTACATTTCAATTAATTATAATAGCTATAATTTAAATAATCATAATCATCAATAAACAAACACTCATAACTGCTTCCTCTGTGTTCCCTTGTTTTTTAATAAATGCAATTTTATTTGAGGAAGTAAAGAAACGGAATAATCCAAACCAGTTAATAAACCAGAATAGTAAAACCCCAACATTTATGGACTATTTCAAAAGGAGGAGAAAAAAAAAAAAGAGAAAAAGCAATCAGGAGGGAATTCTAAGATGTAACTTCATTTACTTACCCATATGCCATTGCAGTTAGAGTCGCTTTTCGCATCCCAGTTATCAGGACTAAAACAGAATTAGAAAGGGTTATACAGTGTTACAGAAAATAAGGGAAAGAAGGGGAGGAAATCAGAAGCTTTGTGCTATTTTCCATGAAGAATGTAAAATAATTAGAATTTCCTTCCTGCGCGGAAGGGCACCTCACTCAAAGGCAATGAGAAACGCTGTGCCCTCTCACAGATTGCCTAAAAACAAATATGGAGCTTGTCCTTTACAGAGCCACAATTGTTACAAGCAACTAAATTATCTGAAATAATTAAAAGCTTTACCGTCTGCCAGGGTACACGGTGGTGTTTTTGTCATCACAGTCTCTGCCGCGCCAGTGATAGCCCCTCAGCGTCTACAAGGCAGGAGGAACACGCAGATAGAACACTCGTTACTCTGGTGCTTTTAACTTAAAATATCTAAAATGAGAATCTAACACCAAGTGCAGGAATAAAGCCCAGTAAATGAGTTGCATTTCAGGGCGGCTTTTACTGAGCTTTAATAAATGACACCTTGCACACTTTGGTGAAGAAATAAGCTGGGCATTATTTTTTTTTTTCTTAACGTGTTGGTCCTTTACCTCTTCTAAATTCAGTAAACAGACCACTTAGCAGCAGAGCAATTTGCTTCTGCTGGGAGCACAGCTCCACGTGTGCATCTGCATCAGCTGCCATAAATGAATGACTGTGATTTCATCCAGAAGCAAACAAGTCTTTTACAACAAACTTTTTCTCTGCTTCCCTTCTATACCATTCTCACATGAATTAATAAGGCTCTGCCGAAAGCGTGACGAAACCCACTGACGTTCTCAGTATTAAGGGATTATTGTACCGAAGGAAAGGTTTTGCTTACTGGGAAAGTACTAAATTTATCTCCATCAAAATCTTCAAAAGGCAGTTTACTTCCTAGGACACTATGAAAAACAAAAACAACAAATGCAGCGTTAACATAAGAAAGGAAACCTATTCAGAAGGAGAAGTGTAGCGTTCAGAACAGAAAACAGCTGGCATGTTGTTTGCAGATCCATGCTCAATTTTAGTTCTCTGCTTGTATTTCAAAGTGACTCTGCCTACAGGAGCAAATTCTGACCTCCTTCAATATCTGCTGACTGAGGGACTAGCGTGAGACTGCAATAGCAAACCCTCAGCCTCCAGCACAAACTGGGGCACCACATCAGTGGTAGAAGTAACTATCACTTTTGGAAGTGAACACCACACTCAGCGTGGCACATCTTATAAATCTGCCAGACAGGAAATAGTGGCAGCAATATTCTACCTGCAGAAGAGCTGCAGAATGGAGTCTTAGCTGGTGGAAACCTTCTTCCTCTCTCAAAAACAAATGGCATGTACTCATTCTCATGAGCATCCCAGAAGACTTTACACCACATCTTCTGTTACGTTTAGCCTAGAGACTTGCAGTTTCCATACCAAGTTGTAGATACACAAACACATGTTTATTTTATTGGGTAAAAGTCAGATTCTGAAGAAATGACCTGTCTAATATCCTCAGCCTTTCAAGGCTCTGCCTCAAAGTTAGCAATGACGCTAAGCTGTTCTTCCTGTCCATTAACCACCCAGTTTTCTTAAATACTTAGCGAGTTTCCTACACTTGCAAGCACTGCTTCGTTCCTATTCTTCACATATCCCTAGTTTGCCTGAAGCCTGGCAGAATATGGGTTTTGGCACTGAGCAACACAATGGAGATGTCTCTGGGACTCCAGAAATCTCAGGAAAAAGCCAGCACCTCCTAAGGTGTCATACCACTGTGTAGCAGAGAGCTCCGTTCTGTGACAGAGCACGTTTGTCCTCTTGGACCTGCTGAATGCACACAAATATTTTAAGTACTGCAAAAGCACAGGCATCCCTCCGAGCAATCTCACCCACCTGAAAACTCTACGCAGCTTCCACGCGCACTGCCTGGGCAGTGGTTTTAGGAAGGAAAGAAACAGCAGTGAAGTACAGGGAGATTTGTTAAAAGGTGAGGATTATTTTTCTCCTTTGAAAGAAACAGATGTACCACACTCTGTTTCTGGGGAAGGGCTGAAAACTTTATACATACTATTTAATCCTCTCACACAGGTCCGCCAGAAGAGGAAACGCACATACATTTGGGAACCCCATGGTCCTTTTCTGGAGGGCAAGAAAATGAAAAAAGATGAATACATTAGTTCATAGAGACACTGTGTCAGTCAAGTCCAGAGCTAAACCATGTATTTTCTGCCCACCAGCATCTGAAAACACCAACAACTCCATTAAAGATGCCACATGCCAGAGGATTTGAGGATTTAGACCTGACGCAGCAGTCAACTTGGGGATTACAACTGAACATTTTCTAAACCAAATACATTTACTTTCAGAGAGCTGTAAAATTGAAAGGAAGGAAGAAGCTCTCATCAAACTGCCTCCTGTCATGCACCAAAGTTATTTTTTTTTCCACTCTTTGTAAGATCACCTATTCTCATCTCGAATAAACACGACAGTATCTTGTACTTAGCACAGAACTAGTGAAAGCAACGCACACTGCAGGCTAAAAAGGTGACTTCTGCACACTTGGTGGGGAGCTTTGCTATAGCTCCTCTGTCCTTGGACCAACTCCCTCATGTTACACACTTTACTTACACAGAAGAAAAGTAAGATAGCCTCTCACTAATGAGATTACAGCCCCCAACCTCACATAAAACAGAAGGTAAGTACTGTGTACACCTTGGGAGAGGACAAGAAATAGCTATTAATCACCACAAAGGGCAGCAACCATAGCATGCAAAGCTCTGAGTGATGGAGAACTCCCAGAATGAGGGGAAATGGTTTTAAGTTGAGGGAGGGAAGATTTAGGTTGGATGTCAGGAGGAAGTTCTTTACTATGAGAGTGGTGAGGTGCTGGAACAGCTGCCCAAAGAGGCTGTGGATGCCCCATCCCTGGAGGTGTTCAAGGCCAGGTTGGATGGGGCCCTGGGCAGCCTGGTCTGGTATTAAATGGGGAGGTTGGTGGCCCTGCATGTGGCAGGGGGTTGGAGATTCATGATCCTTGAGGTCCCTTCCAACCCTGGCCATTCTGTGATTCTGCAACTCCTAGAGGTTGCTGAAGGGCAGTGAGGCAGGGTTTCATCAGTGTGTTGGGCACTGCCCCACAGCTCTTGTGAAGGCAGGCTTTTGCTTTGGGCTAGGGCATTGCAAGGTGCAATGGAGACAAGCTACACAGCAGTAAGAGCAGAGGCCATCCTCAGCAGAAAGTCACAGCTAGGATTTCAACATGGAGGGAAGGGAGTACTGAAGAGATGAGGAAGCCCCCAGTGTAAAGACAGTAGGTAATGCTTGCACCACCAGCAGGAGCAGAAGATGGAAAAAAAAAAGTTGTGCTGTGCTTGTAGAAGCTTTGCAGCGCTGGAAGTAGGGCAGTGACAATGCACTCTCTGATGGACACCACAGAGAAATCAAAGAAACAAAAGGAGAAAAATTAGGGAGCCAAGAAACAAGAAACCTGCAAAAAAACTAACAAAAAAAATCCCCAGCTAACTCTCCCCAGTTCTGTCAGACTCATATGGCAAAGCTGGCATTGCACTGGGGACCAAAAGCTTTGCAGACCTCTGTACAGCTTCCTGGAAAGGATTAAAAAAAAAAAAAATACAACATTCTCCCCACCTCCTCCATGTGGGACTAATCTCAATGCTGCCTGCAAAAGCACTGGAGGCTCTGAAAACTTTCCATTGTGCTAAGATTTGTGCTGTCTTCATCTAAGCTGTTGGCTTCTTACTTCAGCCTAAATCACAGCACGCAAAGCCTTTGAAGTTAAGGCACCCGGAGTCCAAACTGTGCCAGAAAGACAAAATTTTCCAAGAAATAAGTTAATAAAGCAGGTCTTCTTTTATTCTGCTTTCAGACTTCATTTAAAGTTTATCATTTGCTGCAAATAGAATAAAACCTTTCCTGCATTTTTCTCAGCTCGTTGTGAAAAGTGCTGCCCACTGGAGCTTCATGAGCTTCAAAAGAAGGCAGGCCTGCAGCCCCAGCACACTGCTCAGCTCTGGTTGGAATTGCAGGCATCTTCCCAGCAGAGCCATGCCATGATTGCAGCAGTTAGTGGGCAGGAGACTGGTTCGTGCCCTGCTCTACCTTGCAGCCCTCTGTCTCCTTTCTGTGGCTTTCTGCTTCTCCTGCTGCAGGGATGTGAGTTATAGGCAACATGTAGTGGCTACTAGATTGCACACATACAGCTTACTCTCATTAAATACTAAAGGCACAACTCTCTTCTGCTGAAGTAATTTTTTCTTCTGCTGTTACTCAAAGATGCCTCGCCATTCATAAGAAAAGTTAGTGCTAGAAATGCTCATAACAACCAATAATATTTAATTCATGGCTTGTTAGCGTTCCATAATGACATTCCAGTAATTATTTTAATTGGTTTTATGAAAACAAAGAAAAAGCCCCTGATGTTTGTTGGTGCTGGGTTTAAATGAGTTGCTCACAGATGGCTTACTACATTTAGTGAATGGAGAAGCTTACTCGATATTTTGGGTTTAGTATTTTTCACCACATTTCCACATCTGGAAGATACCTGCTCTTTTTCCCAAACCCACAGCAACCCTAAGAAATGCTCAGTAAATACAATCCCCTGTCAGCCAGGCAGACCTTGCAATCTCCTTAGCACCAGCTTTAATCACCTCTGTCTTATACTCAGTCATGCACAGTAGCTGAGCCAAGATGGGGGCAGTTAACATGCAAGAACCTCTCCAGAAGGCTGGGGAGTTCTTTCTCCGAACACACCACAAAGCAAAGGCACCCAAAATGGTGGCTATGAGGAAAAAAAGATAACTTGCTGTCTCCCTCCAACATAGGTCAAAACTTTAAAGAGGTCCTGTTATGCCCCTAGAAGTGTTGCTATTATTAGTTTTCTGCCTTTAATATGTTTTTCTTAAAGTATCATTACAAGACACACACTAGATATAACTGCCAAAGTGCAACCACTGAGGTGATACTTGTTTTAATTTGATATGGCCTCGTGCAGGCTTAGAAATCCACTGACTGGAGAAAGCCAGGTATAACGGGGTCTTGCTGCTCTTAGCCAGGGTAGTTCCTAAGTGCCCTTTTCATTGATGAACAGGCAATTCAGGGCTGAAAGAAGCCAAGGGCATAGTGATGGAGGATGAGGAGGTACAGGAGCTTTGTGTAGCCGATTTGAATTCATGGTAGAGCACTGATACATTGGAAAGAGACCCCACTGCACCGAGGACTGTTGCCAACCATGCCAACCTACTTTGGAGACCTCAAAAGGACATGCCATGTTCTGTGGAGGTCAGGTATGGCTTGCCACACAAGGGACACATCGTGATGTGCAAACAGGAGGAAAAGAAATAAAAGGATCAGACTCCTCATTTCAGTTTGTAAAGCCCATGCAAGGGAGGTAAAGAGCTCTGCATCCTAAGAGACAGCAGTTGCTCATCAATCCCTCTCCATCCCACACCTGCTCCTCTGGAGCTCAGTCTAACAGAGAGGACCTCCTTCACTCAGAGAGTCTTTCTGCAAGCATTAGACTGTGGGCTTGCACCCTGGGAAGGGAATTGGGTATTGCATGTAATTTGAGAGGAAATCTCAGGCTATCAGGAGAACAGCACTGAATAGGGAGGAAAATGAATAAGATCCTGCTGGTTGCTGTTCTGTAGGAGCTGAGACCCATCTCTCCAGCGCATTGTTTATTTCCCTGGCTTCACAATTTGGCAATTGCCCAAAGGCTAATTAGGCACCTTCATTTTCACTTTTGAGAGTAGCATCACAGTGAGGGTTCAGGAAGAAGCAATATCAATAATTTCTTCACAAACAGCAAAAACATTTGCTCTGAATTAAATGCCTGAAGACAACTGGAAGCAAACTCCATGGCTGAGCTCATAAGTGAACCCAGCAGAATAAAAGCTACCCTTCCCTTCTCTGCAACTGAGTAGAGATCCACTGTAAATCTGAAAACTGGTGGAGGTGGAAGATTTCCAACCCCAGCTTTCAACTTAAGAGGGACATAAAGGGAAAAAAAAAAAAAAACAAAAAAAAAACAAGCAGAATTTGCATTTAGGCTTTTGCTTGAATTTCAGACAACCCCCAAGGGTACTCTCTGTGCTCTGAGACAGCAACTTCGTTCATGAGGCTTCCTCCTACACGTCTACAAGGGCAAAGCAGGGATGGCTAGGGATATGGAGGATGCATGAGACAAGGAGGAGCTGAGGCCCAGCAATGATAAATAAATCAAGAAGTTTGAAGGAAGAACATCTCTAGGAGGAAGGGCACAGGGAAAGGATGAGTGGGGAAATCCCTGCCCTGTAAAAAATCTAAACAAAGTATCTATACTATTGTACTTTTTACAGCAGGTAAAGCAGGTATTCCAGTGTGGATCTGCACTATGATGTCAGCTGCTCCATGAATATCTTGGTTAGATATCAACAATTATCCCTACTCAACTAGTCTGCATTTTCCATTAGGTTTTATCTGTTCTCCCTTTATTTCACATTTTGTTTCTGTTATTTCTCTGTTCTTTCTAGTCTCACTTGAGGAGCATGGTAGGAGTGATTCAGCCATCCAACTCTATGATGATCAAGATGGCTCACGACTGGGCAAAGTGAGTGAGGACTCACTCCCAGTAAGCAAATACATTGTAAAACACCACAACACCACCAATATCTTACCAGGTCCTTGGAATTCTTCAAAATCCTTTTTGCTTTCCGTATTGCAGCACTCAACCCCACCTAGGAGAGTAAGAACAAAACACACACAAAAAAACCAAACAGATCAGCATCATAGTAAATTACAAATTTTTCTTTCCCATTTTAAACTTTTTTTTTTTTTTTTAATATCAGTCATAGCACAAAAATGATGTAGGTCATCATCATCATCAGCTACTTTTTATTGGATGAACAATCAATTATCTGATCACCCCATATGAAGCTCCAGTGGCGAGAGTTCATTTATTTTGCCCCAGGGCATCATTTATTTCCTGAGAGAAAGTCCAGATCAGTTTAAGAGCTGAGATTCATATCCTGAATGCAGCACGTGAGCTGCAGAGCACTGACTGCTCCACGAGCTCTGCAGAAAAACAAACCATTCATTAGATGGTCAGGGAATAGATTTGCAATGCCAGTCTGACATACTGTGCCAGGCATAAAGGCAACATTTGATGTTGTACATCTGGGGGCTATACTTGCCAGCAGGGGAATAGTTGGCATGTGGGAACATGCAAAGGAGAGAATAATAACTCAAAGGTAAGTCTTCTATTTGGATTCTAGGAAGGCTAGCTCTTTATTCTGGAAATAATTGACCTCAAGCAAGGCTGAAAATATTGCTCATTTGCCCTCTTTCAGAAGAAATAACTGCTTCTGTTCCATGGGCTTTCATGACTGCTTAAATATAAACGCGCTGGGGATGCCTGAAGTCCACACTCATAATATATGTATCTATTATATACTATACATATTATTTTTATATAGAATTATATGTATTTAAATCTACTTTTGAAAATGTTTCACATGGAAAGAGAAATCCCACTGGTATGTAACGAGTACATTAGTACCTTGCTTCTGATCAACATGGTTAGTAAGAACAAATTGTTCTGACAATGCCCAGCCTGAAGTACTAACGTGTTTGGAAAAAGGCAGAAAGTATCCCTTAAGTCACAGCACCTTCCTGAACAGTGCATATACCAGCTTGGGATATTAAAGCAGCATATAATTGCATTTCAATGAATTGTTATCAACATTTTTTACTGGGGATAAAATTTAGCATCTCGTTGTAATTGATTGAGGCAGTCAAAGCAAATTAATTGAGAGATTCAAGGCTCAAAAATTTGTAGTTAATATAAAGAGATAAGGAAGAATAAGAACAAGAAACAAGGAACAGAGGTGTCTACGTGTTTACATATATAGATACTTGCATATATTATGCATTTGTGTTGATAATCTCATAAAAATCTGGACACGTTGCAAACAATAAATGAGAGATGCTAGGAAGGAACCAAGATAACATTTCCTGTTCTCTTCCCACTGGGCAAGTTCTAAACCAAACATGCATCTTGCATCTGCATACTGCTTATGTTTCCAAGTGCTATTATTTCTCCAATATAATATCTCAAGGTTTAGATGAGCAAAATGGCTTTAAATTTGCATATGACACATGAAGAATTTCCAACAAGGTAAGATTTGTCAGTCCTCTTCTGCTGAGCAGGAGAGGAGGACCCTTTCTTGCTCACAGCAGCAGTGCACGAGCAACCAACCTCCTGCCATAGACAGGGCCACCCATCAGATCAGGCTGCCCAGGGCCCCAGCTAACCTGGTCTTGAACTCCTCCCAGGCATGAGGCATCTACAGCTTCTCTGGGCATCCTTCGCCAATGCCTCACTGCCATCTGACTAGAAAATTTCTTCCTAACCTAAAACTCACTTACTTTAAAACCATTGCCCTTTGTTCTATCACTATCAGATCATGTAAAAAGTCACTCCCCCTCCTGCTTATAAGTTCCCTTCAAGTACTGGAAGGTCTCCCTAGAGCCTTCTCTTCTCTAAACTGAATAAGCCCAGCTCCCTCAGCCTTTCTTAATAGGAGAGGCCTACCGACACCGGCCCTCTCTTCTGGACCTGCTCCAATAGCTCTGTATCCTTTTTGTGCTGGGGGCACTGGGGGCTGGGACACAGTATTACAGGTGGAGACCCACAGGTGCAAAGTAAAGTCCTTAGGGGAATCACGAGGAGCACACAGGACAGCCAAACCATACGATACATGCTCTGGGCCCAAAATAGGGACCTTCCCTGCAAGCCCTGCTCTAAAACATGCCAGGCTTGGCTTGGTTCTTTCTTCTCCCTGGGCAAGGACTCTGGGTTCTATTTTACTCCACTTCATTCTTTTGGACTTGGACTCTCATAGCTTTGCTTCATTGGGTCAAATTTGCTCAGGCTGTCCCCTAAGGATTCCAGAGGCACACATTCAACTGTGTGAAACACCTTAGTTTTAGTCCTTGTTCTCTAGAAATAACACTTTTGTTAACACTGGTGCGCTTGCTCTGTAACATGATGCACAAACAACAAATGTACAGTTAGCAGAGCAGTGTAGTTAGGCTGGTATTTTACAGGTCTCGTAGTTAGAAAGATCACCGTGGTGGAAAGACATAATCAAAAATGAAATGCTCACCCATGTCCTAGGCTCACAGAAAAACTCCAAAACAAGGGTCCTCCAACAAGAGACCCTTCCCCACTGGCAGTCAGCCCTTCAATGGGTCTAGGAGAGGTGCAGCCAGGCTCCACCCTTCATCACACAGCTGAATCGCCTTCACCTGTGCTCCCATGGCTGACTCAGTGCTTGCCTCAGGTGAGCAATCAGTGGCTCAGGCCAGGACTCAACATTTCCATACGCATGATCAAAACGTTCAGTCAGTTTATGCCATCCAGAATCTCAACCACAGCACTCAGGCAAGTCCAGGCTCATTCCTAAGAGTTCCCACTGTAATATCCATGAAGAACGCGGTTCTGGTTTCACACAAAGTCAGTGAAAGGCTTGATGGTATCAGGGACGGGAGCCAGCATCAGTGCTTGTGCCTATGAAGCTTACTTTGGTAAGATAAAATGACATTAGCATAAATACATGTATCTTTGCTCATACAAGATGACTCCCAGTAAAATCCTGCTAGTTGCAATTAAGCTGAAGCCTGCAGCCAGAAGGCCTCTAATAACATGGAACAGAGAAGTGATGAGGAGCAGAATAGGTCCTCCAAAAGGCAGAAATAACAGTAAATGCTCCTTCCAACAGTGATTGTTAAAGAGATTGGTGGCAGCAGGATGCCAGTCCTGAAGTCAAGCCATTATTTTGGCCCAATAAAATCAATTAAAGTATTTCCATTTAACTGAACAGGCTGACTGGCTTAAAACATCCGAGATTGAGACTGAGATGAACCTCCTGCAAACCTGCTCTCTCCCAAGAGCTGGAAAAGGAGCTCAGCAGCCTGAACCCCTTGTCCTATTTCTGTCATTTTCTTGTGGTGATTTCTTATGCACCCTTGCCATGAGCCTCGGTGCAGAATGTCTGCCAACAAATTTGTTTTCCTAAAGCAATATCTAGTCATCCTAAGCCAGGTAGCTTGGATAACTGTAGCCATTGGCTGTACTGGAGCCAACATTAGATCTGTCCTGTGCTGATATATGTTAAGCCACAAAGCATATTGATTTTGAGTAGTTTGTCAGAGACAGGGAAAATATGTAATATAGAGCATATTGCATATACTTGGTGTGCCACACTTAAATCGTGCAGGTAACCTGCTGGGTCTCTGAAGCCTTGGCTCTTCTTTGGTACACATGATCTCACTACAGCAACCTTACAGAGAATGAGCAAAAACGACTGACTGAAAAAGCAGCTCTGTACTGATATATGCCACTTAAAGACAATGAAAAATACATCATACGGGTTTGTAAGGGCAAACCATTCTGCTTTTATATATCAGTCTCTTTGCCAGTACAAACACAATAATAATTCTGGGAAAATGTGCATCCAAAAGTCTAAATGAATAAACGAAGTACCTGAAAATCGATACGGTCGAACAAAATAGTCATTAGTATTTAAGTCTTGTCCAAACACTTGGCAGGGGACTGAGCCAACATTTGCAGGCTCATATAACTGAAGTGATCGATCAAATTACAAACCGCAGGAGCAAATGTGAGGTAAACTGCATTTTATGCATCTCTGTCTCTAACCGTATATTAATTTTTTTCACCCATAATTCATCTTCACTCAGTACGACTTGTCACAGAGCTACTGTGGGCAATTTATCAACCACTTGAGCATGAATCTGGGGCAGCGCTCTTCTCCTCCCATCTCCCTGTGCTGTCTGTGATACAAGAGGTGCTAAAATGGAGGTTGAAGTCTGAGCACAGTAATCATTTTCTTTAATAGAGAAGCCAGGCGCGGGTTGGTCTCTACTCTTTATTCCTTCACTTTGGAAAGGAAGCCCACATGAAAATCTGTGTCTGGGGCTTGTACTGTGGTGAAAATGCAGCCACCACTCCCACAGCTGTCCTCTGGGTGCTTTGCAACACTGGCAAGCCTGACGGCCTCTCACCTCCACCTTCAGCACTCCTAATTAAAATAAAACAGCAAACTATGAGGCCCCACAGTCACTGACAGGGCCTCCGCTGCTATTGCAAGTGAAGGAAAAGAAAAAATTCATGCAACTACCAGGGCTGAAAGTGCCAGAGGCAAACAAAAGTGAGGAAAGACCTGGCCATCACTAAGAGAGCACCTCCAGTGGGTAGCTCTGGTGTGCTCGGGAAAGGTGGAAGGATCTATAAACCCTTCCACAAGTTCAGATGCAGAATTTCTGAAAGAAGAGGTCAGATGACGTTTGGGCAGTGTCCTGGTAGAGATAGATAGGTGTGGGCCCTCTTTTCTCCTGCACTCATCTTCTTCCCTGATCCCTGATCTGGTTGCACACCCAGATACCTCCACTGTGACTATCATGGAGCATAGTCACATGGGGCACATGCTTCTTGTAAAATAAAAGATACTGTCATTCTTGGAAGGCAGGTATATTTGCAGCTCTTAATACCAGGAGAGCTAAATCCAATCTGGAGATGAACCCATTAAAACCCACTGACTTTACCAGGTACTGGATGAGGCTCTGTGTAAAACATCTTGTGCCAACCTTTAGAAATCAAGTGAGACATTACCAAGATGCAAGGAAAATATTTCCAAAAAGTAGATGCCACAATGAATCACTTGCTTTTTGACATTGCCATACAGCCATTATTGATCACAGGTTTCTGTGCAGGGTGTCTGCATGGGCATTGAAAACAATAGCTGTTACCCCCAAAACCAAGTATACCTGTTTAGACACCTTTATTGAATTAATATAGTCTGACAGGCAATTAAGTTACCATGGTGTAACGAGTACATCCCCAAAGCCTTGCTAACTGCCTGTTTCCAGCCCGTGGCCAAAGGCCATGCAAGTTAGCTTAACCCTCTCCCATGGCAGACCAAGCCAAGTCAAATAACCCCCATCTGCATGGGAAGCTTGGCCCTATGTATGTTGTCACAGAGATGAAGGATAACATGTTGTGCCGTGGTAACACGGGGCTGTAGGTGAACTGCTGTTGAGCTTTGGGTTGGGAGTTATTTGTCTGCTTAACAATAAAGTCTGGAGAAAATGAGATACTTGTATATTCTTTCTCTCTGGCTCAGGCTGGCACAAGGGAGCCTGGCCCTGTTATTCCCACTCTCCAGCAACCACGTTGCCGATACATCAAACAGTATGCTGTGTACCTTCTGCTTAAACAGACACTGCCTGAAAGTGTCCACTTTCTGAATGCTGTTGTTTTTCCCAAAAAACTCACATGGCCTGGGAACCTCTGCATGCTTGCTCCCAGCCTGAGGGGCCATCCACAGCCTGCAGCTTTGAAAGAAGTTGAAAAGTAACTCACCTTGGGAGCAGGGTAGAGATGACAAAGGGGTTGTCCTGGATCCTGTTTGCACAGCCTCAAGGAATGGCAGACCACATCGGCATTCATTTCCCTGTCTATGCTGAAGGAAATGGTGTTAAAACAGAGACCAACACATTCTTCTAGGTATTTGGAAGCAGGAGAAATTTCCATGGGAAGCTAAATCTCCCCAGCACTACCAGATAACCTCAGCATGCTTTGCCATGGTCCATAGCCCCTGCTCAGCATGTTGTCAGACTCAAATGACTTTCTGTCATAGCATCCTACTCAGCATGTAGAATTGGATACCAGGATGATGAAAAAGCACTGCACTTGATGTGCAGGACCTGAATCAAATGTGTTAAGCTGCATTTTTTAATCAATCACAAGCCTGACAAAGACTTAAAGGTTAAAGTTAATACATATGCAATTTGGCACACATCTTCAGTCATTAACTCAGGAAAATAACCAGAAAGCCTTCAAAGATCCTTAGCATTTAATCACCAAGCACAAGTGCTAGGGCTGTTTCCTTCTTTTTTGGGATGCACTTCTGGGCTGATGAAGAATTAAATTAAAATGTTGGATTATAGCACTTCTTAGTCCTGTAAGCACTTTGCAGTCCCTTGGCTAGTTATAAAAATAAAAATAAAAACCCGAGGGAGGAAAAAGGTGCAGCAACAGCTCTGTTAATTAAACTAAGAACTTTCAAAGGACATAAAGTGGCCTACATGTTATTTCTTTAATCACCAACATTACCTAACAGCCTTCCCCAGCAGCGTGTATCAAGGTCAGGGCTGGGAGCATGTAGGGGCTGACAATTAGAAAGCTTGATTAAAGGTAAAAGGGAAAGCCAGAGACAAGTATTAACACAGTGGGACCGTGTCAGGGCTGCCTCGTGCACATGAGTTATTCAAATTCCTCTCTCCACCAGAAGAGCTGAATTTCAAAAGGTAATTACATCAGGTGGGCCTGATCTGAGAGGCAAATGTCGCATGGAAGTGGTCACGGTGGCAGGCTGCATTTATTCACTCAGAGAGAGCTGTGCCAAATGCCAAGCTGGCATCCTGGCTTTAGAAACCATGTGATTTTCTGAATGAGAACCCTGAACTTCAGTCTGATAATACATCCATACTTCCGAAGCATGAACTAAAGCAAAGCTTGAGAAAACACAGCGGTACTTACAGTTCAGCTATGTGTGGTCCATACACTTCAGCAAGGACGTAACAGAAACCTTGCAGTTTTTCTAGAAAACATACATTTTTTAAGTGACTCAGATCAGTGAAACTCATTTTATAACTGTCAGAACACAGCAGGAGCAACTTCAGGTGAATGCTGATTTATCTGAGATAAATGCATGTACGTCTGAGATTTCAGCATAGCATCAGAGAAGGGAAACCTGAATTTCTAACCTAGGCTGGGATGTGAAGCTCTCCTCTAGCTTTAGGCAAGTAGTTGGGAAAGACTGAGAGCATGGATAACTGGCATTTGCTAAGTGTTCTGAATATTGTCTCATGTGAAAGCTGAAAGAAATCATGCATGCCACAGCATGTTTTGAGCTGCTCAAATGGAGGTAGGCTTGTGAGAAGAAAGAAAAGAAATAAATGGAGTGTAGCAAGTGATGAAGGACTTCATGCTTCTGCTTGGCCTGCCTCAGTGGCTCTGAGATTTTATGCAAGGGAAGAGCTGCACTTGCCCTGCAGAGAAGGTGCAGTGCTGGGCCTTGGAAGATGCCAAGAGGCAGAATTGCACCCACAAAACTGGCAGCTACCAAATTCCCTGGGAGAATTCCTAGGACTTTGCTTTCTCTCACACCTCCATGGCCAGGCTGCTCTCACCCCAGAGAAAAAGGGAACGGCCAAAAGGAAGCGTGATACTCCACCAACCTCCCACTCTGTGTTGCAGGCAGCTCCTGTAGCTGCAGTAGATGATTTTCTCATACCATATATTTTACTTCAATCAAGCTATTAGCTTCATCTCTTAGCCACCTCTGCCATAATTCCTCTCTATCCGCTTTTCAGGAGAAATGTATGAGTTAAAAATTGGTCTTTGGGAATTAGATTGGATTCTTGTTCGCCTAAAGGGAAAGCATTGCAGGCACCACTAGTGCTGCCTTCGGTCTGGTGTCTGAATCTTGGAGCAAGCCTTGAAGGAAGCTCCTGGCTCCCTGTTGCAGCCAACAGAGGGTGGTTGCTTCCCCAGCTCATCCCCAGCAGGGACTTCTGTGTGCTGGTTTGCTGGTGTGCGGGGGAAGTTGGGCTTCCAACTGCCTGATGCAGGGATAAAAGTGGGTGGTGAGAGTGGCAAATACATAAAATATTGGGCAAGCAGAGTCATCTTAGAAGATGCCAATGCCAAAACAGACAGAAGCCATAAGCAGTGTTTGTAGGACACCCCCCATGTTTTGGCACCCACAAACATCTTGCCTGCTGAACACATGCAAGACAGTGCAGAGAGAAAGCTCTGGTGGGAAGAAGCTGTGCAAGTGACAAAGGAGGGGAAAAGAGAGAGAGAGAGATTATGATGATAATTATGGTGAGCGTTCAGGGCCAAGATAAGAACTTAATTCTAACTAAACACTTTAAGTTTAGAGGAAAGCTTTGAAGTGCATGACCAGAAGTGAGAATGTTTCCTTTTGCCCTATTTCAGGCAAGAGGTCCCCTAATTGCCCTCTTCTTACACGATTTTTTCTCTATTCGTAGTCCTAGAAACACAAATGCTGGCTGAAACCCAGGAGACAAATATTTGCAGGAAAGATGGCATTAATCACGTTGCCATTTCCACTTGAGCTAAGGTGTTTGCACAGCAGTGGCTTACAGAAGCAGAGCCTGACTCGGAGGCTGTGCTGAGACAGACCATCTCAAAGCACGTCTAAGGAACTGGGCACATCTTGTCTATCAGATAGACAGGCAGAATCAAGACAGATATGCATTCTTGCTAACAGCATTTTGTACCTCACAAATACTGCTCACTTCCCCAGATGTGGCATTTCTGTCTACTCCAGAGCTGCCTTCATTCATAATGCTGCTGTGCTTTATTGTCTCTCTGATCACAGCCGTGGCAAACATTTCCATACAAGAACATGACTGTGTTTTCTGCACAATCTATGGGACTAAATGGGACTGACCGATACTGAATTTCTCTCTTTTTCTTTAAATATTTTTGGTTTTAAACAATGTGTGACTTCACTGCAGTCTGATACAACCCCTCTTATCGCAAGTAAAACAATAGGAGGCCCATTAAAAAAAAAAAAGCGTTCATTCTCTTTTTTGTCCTTAGGAAAAGCCTCATTGTCATCGATTTGTCACAGTCAGTCTTGCAAGCAATTGTAGGCATGTGTCAAATAATGAAACGGTTCCTTCAGCAGAAATGGCACTGCCTGATTTAATAGGCTGCTCCTCATGAGGATCCAAAGACCTCCTTTTGTTCCAGGGAGTAAGAGGAAGCTGCAGAGTGCTGCTGGGATGTGGGGTTCACCTCCTGGGGGAGGATAAATTGGGTTACACTGTAGCTCCTGCACAATCCCTAGGATTTTTCACTCCTTTCATGTTCAGGGTCAGTTTTTTTCTATTGGGTGTATCCACGCATCTCATAAAAGGTAACTGGATTATACAGATTTAACTAGAGGGATAATAGGATTTTATGTGTGTAAAGAATGGCAGCTGAAAAGAAATATCCTTGTACAACAGCTGAACAAGGTCCATGGAGTGAATCATGATCGTAGATCTAGCATGTCATATTTTAAAGAGGAAAATTGTATTTTAACAGCAGGATCCCTGCTTCTAATTGCAACTTCATGGTGATGTGCCAGTAATTTAAAACACCAAGGATACTACTTATGGAATAGAGATCAGATAAGCATCATTCTGTCAATGAATGAATTCCAGCAATTTCCTTCCTGCTCCATCCTATCTCAGAAAATAATGTCTTGGAAAGAAAGGAATTAATATTCTGCATGCATCTTCCGTGATGCTGAGGTCTGTATAGTAATATGGTTCTCAGAGATACAATTCATGAAGGCCTATATAAAAGGCTGTATAATGAAGAATCATAAAGCCACCCTTCTGCATTCGTAAAGCTAAAACGATATAATGAACGTGAGATCTAGCTACTTAAGCAGTTGTAGGAAGAGTCTGTGAAGCACAAAGCTATTTTGGTATTCAGACTGTTCTCTATTTAGAGACGTGTGCTTGGACAGCTAGGCTCCTTTGGGCTGATAAAATACAAGGCAGAAAAGGGGGAGTCCACATTTGCTCATATGGAATAGCTTTCACTTTTGAAATTTTTCTCATCACTTACTTTTCCATTCGCATCACTGTCAACCTCAGATAATTTTAATGATTTTACAATAATGGCTTCCTGTCCCCATTGAAAGCCTTTTCATCTCCTCAGTTGATATAAAGACCCGTATTGACAAGGAAGAGGAGTGTCTGGACATGCAGCAAAGCTGCTGACAAAGAGACAAAGTGGAGACAAAGAGCAGGGGAAAGGGGGCTCACAGGCTTCTGGGCTTCACACAACCCCATCCACTGTAACTCTGGGATGAAATCCCAGCTCTGCAGCAGCTACATCTTTCCTGCAGAAAGCACCTGGCTATCTTTCAGCCACGTTAATTTTAGGTGCCGCATGAGATGTGGTGAGGGCTTTTTCAGTCTCAATGTGTGAATTTTTAATTAACAGAGAAGTACGGCAGCACCAATGAAACATATGGCACATTATTTGATACTTACCAGGTATGTAGTTGCACAGTCTCTCCACGGCTGCCTTTACTGTACTGTTGTGCCACTGTGCAAGCTGTTCAATCACAGAGACCACAAGCACACATCCTTCAAACAAACAAATAAACAGAGTGAATGAGGTTATCTCTAGTATGTAGGGAAGCACCTCGTGCAATAGGAGAACTTGGGGCATTGCTGGGCATTTCATACCTTAGGATGCTCCACAGTAGATGAGAGCTTGGGGGGAAATATTTGAAAATTTCTGTCTTTAGTCAAAACCTGTGAGTTATACAGAATGGATACCAACATCAGAGGAACTCTGTCCTCTTAGCAACCCTCATGTCTGTGCTGGATGTACCTCTTGTACCATTCGGAGCTCACAGAGAGCTATCAAAGCTTAAAAAAATCCCACTTCTCAGCTACAAGAAATCTAAGTTCTCAGAATTTGCTCTGAGGCAGTCTAGAAATGAAGGTGAGCTGCAAGGTTTGGATGTGGATACAGATGCATCTTTTTGCAGAGCTCAGGAGCATTAATGTTGAGGCTTCTAGACTGGCACGACTCCTCAATGTGAGCTATTACATTCCTTCCAAGTACCCCTGCCTATGTGCTATTAAATCAAACTGACATTCTTCTATACAAAAAAAACTTTGATGCTCCTATGAACCAAGTGACAAATAAAAGATGAAGCAATACCATTGGAACTTGCTGTAAGACCAATATCTTTGAATTGTCTAATACTTTTCCTACACCAACTACAGTAATCCAGTGGAAATTACAGTGAACTTGCCACCTCTTCTGCTGGGATAACAGCCCACTTCTCCATACTTATTAAATAGAACTCTCACCCAAAGTCCTCTGCAGAGTGATTGATAAGGCATGCTAAAAGCCATTACCTCTAGTCATTCTAGAAGAAAAGATGAGTATATGGAGACTGCTGGCACCAAGAGAAAACCCTGAAACAAATCATTCACTCTTCTCTCTCCACCTTCAAAACAGAAGCTAGTCCAAAGAATTAACAGTTGATTAAAACACAGTGGTTCTCAAAAAACTTCAACTGTATGACTGGAAAACAAGTCCTGCAATGGCTCCAGAGATAGAAAACAGACCTTGGCTTATTTGTGATGGTAACATGGGCATAGCCGCAGTGTTCCAGCTCCACCACTTAGTGTTGAGATGGTGGTGCAGGTCCCTCAGACACACTGTAAGCACCTGTAAAAGGGCTGCCTTTTCTGGTGTTTACAAGGCCATGTTATTAACACAGGCAAACAGCCTACATATAAACAAAATTACCCTTCCCCTGCCTTCTTACTGTTTGTTTTATTCATGAGGCTGGAGGCTCAGAAAAAAACTAACCGACCAGAATGGTGCCTTAACAACAAAACACACATACTCCTTCCATGTGCTCCTTCATTCTATTATCAAGGTCAAAATATCTGGCTGTCTAGAAGTCAGAAAGACAGAAAGGAGTCCAAGCAGAAAGACAAACATGGCAGTACTTGGCCTCCTGGCGGGGATGCAAAGAGGTTAATCTCTGCTTTGTCAGACATGGTCACAGCCAGGTCTTCTCTCCTCTGCTGGGGTGAGCACAGGGAAAGGAGCTGATGGATGCACAGCTGCATGGTGCTACAGACTGTGTTCACAATCCCTAAAATTATCCTGAGGATAAAAATACCCCCAGTGCTTCACTTTCCTCTGGAATACAAAAAACAGACTCCGCTGAAGATGTAAGAGAGTTTCTCTCTCATGTTTGTCAAAGCATGGCAGAAGGGAGGAAAAATAGCTATTTTTAATTCAGCTTTGCCAAACAGAAACAGAATTCTTAATCACAAAAACAATCTTTCAGGTAACCCTACTGAGGGAGAGGTCTCTTGGTGATTAAATGGAAATTTTTCACGTTATTAAGCCAGTCAGACCCTTCTGTGCCTACTGAACCAGGCCCAAAGGGAGATTTGCTTTGCCTGAGAATTAACAGAGTCATCGCTGAGATGCTGAAGTACTTAACACAGTGCCTTGGGCTACTGGATGCTACATGAATATAAATAACAATAATAACAGCCTGGCAGCTCCGAAAAACCCACAGAGCTGAACCCCAGGGCGTTTGCTCTCATAAACCAGTCTTCACTGTCACACAGAGGGTGCTGTTACCCTCTCTGTGTTGCAGACACCCACTGGCCCCACCGTGATCGTTTGAATGCTCTCCCAAATGCACTTGCTCCAGATGAAACACAGATCTTGTCAAGACAATTAGACAGAGAAAGACATGACTGATTTTCAGCGGGACAATTAGAGGCGTCCTCAGCCTCGGTGCTAGTTTGGGGATAAAAACATGTTACCTCCAGTTAGTAATTTATTTTCTAGGATAATTGATTCTTGTGTTTGGCTATAGGTACAGTCACATTGGAAGTTGATCCTTGCTCCTGCTAGAAATCTCTATTTTTCATCATGTAGATCAACTTCTTCTTGGATTCAGTGGCAGGGAAATAATTGATGCTTGGCTGCAGCACAAGAAGCCACTATTCTGCACCAACACCTCCCCCTCTCCCCCCCCAAAAAATCAACAAAAATATCCCTGAAAAATATGATAATTATCAGAAATACTAACAAGTTATCTTACCTCTAACAGGTCTAAATCATGTTGGCTAAAAATGGAAAATAGCTGAAAAGGACAGCTGCCTTCAGCTGGGGGAATCTCACTGCTATAACTATCTATGATCACTTCTAAGTAAGATTATAAACTTTTGAATACTCTGAAATCAGTAGAAAAAACACTTCCAGATTTGGACAGCCTTTAGCAATGGCTGCTTGCTTTTAATTAAGCAGCTATTTACGTGTGATTTATTTCTCATCATGAGCAGGGCACATTGAAGGCAATCTAGATAAGCTTCCAAATTAAAGGTTAAAAAAAGCTCTGCATTTTTTTCGTGATTGCATGTGATTTGCTTTAGAAACAAGTCTCAAGAAATTGACTTTGCTGTTGCACTGTAATAATAGGTTTCAATACCTTGTCAGGCAGAGGAAGAAATTCATTGGTGGTATGATGCCTACCAGCCATTAGAAACTAGACTCTGGAACTAATAAAATGCTTGTCTCTTTTAGTGATGTTTTGTCCTATCTGCTATTAATTTCTGAAGAGATAAGAGAAAACCACAACCATTTTGCTCAGAAGCAGAGTCTGGAAGCCCATGTCAGGAAGCGCTTGTCCTCACGTATTTCAGAGTAGCATGTAATAATAAAATGACATTTCCAATAGGCTTGGGAGAAATTCATACCCCAGTAATAAAGTCAGAGCTAGAGATTCACTTCCTAGCCCTGGAGCCCCTGGCAGTTTGAGCAGACTATTAAACTTAATCCACTTCTGCTGCATGTTTGAAAAGATCTGTACTTAGAATGATACCTGTGGATGTAAAGGAGTGCCTGGACATTGAGAGTTGCCACTCCACATTGCAGATTTGTAGATATTTTTGTCCTGTTACATGGGATTTCTGGCACCTGGAGCATCCTTCTTTGCCACTTTTTGTTCACGTTGATGGGTGCTGGGGCCCTTTCTCGTGCCTCCAGCCACATCGCCATTCCACATCCACAAATTAGCTGTACCACAAGGAAGAAATAAGCCAAGGAAAGTGGCCTGGGGCACAGATAGCTCTCCACAAACCCTGCTTTTCAGACTGTGGTTGCCTGCCCCGTTCTTCACAGTTCAACACAGAACAAGACATTCTTGTTTGAAAATAAGAGTGTTTATATCGGGAGCAAGCAAAAAATCAACATGTCTACTGTTTTCTCCCCTGAGGTGGGGGCCAGAACTGCACAAAGTACAGGCAGACCATGGGTATGCAATATTTCAAAACAGGAAAGATTTGTTTTTCACGATATGTACCTTTTCTAATACTTCCCAGTATCTGCTTTGCCTTCTGCTTCTGAACGCTGCGGTGATGCCATCAAAGAAAAACCCACTGTAATGTCAAGATTTTTTTTCCAGCATGGAAATTGTGAGTTCAACAGGTGCAACTGCTTATGCAAAGGTGGGACCGTTGTTTTCCCTGCATCTGAATAATTTGTTGCTTTGAGAAAGGGATCTGAGTATACAAGTTTTTAAATTCAGTCTTTTTCTGATGCCATTTTTCTTATGCCATTTGAAGCTAGCATTTCTGTATTTCACAGAGATAGCAGTGTGATGGAATATAATTATATTCAAGTATATTGGCATGTACAAGAACTTCTTTGCCCTAAATTTTGCCAAGTTCATGAAATATCCTGGAAATGTTCAAAGGTACAGTACTACTGTACCTGTCACTGGGCATAAAATTACACGTAGAATACTGGCTAACATTTTTTTAAAATGTTAATGTCAATATAGCAGTATTTTAAGTTTAATATCAGTTAGCATTTTTTTGCTCATGCAGTTCATGCTGCAGCAGTGAGACGTTTCAGGCCCGAGGTTCAGAGCTCTGTTCATTTGTTACTACTTCCTTAAGACACCCTGTGAGGTGTCTGTTATGGTTGTATACAGTTCTGCATGTGCTGGTACAAAAAATTCAATTTTCATCTGTGGAAGACTCCGGTATCCATACCTGCCAGCCAAATGTATCCCTAATGTTTCTGTCATTACACTTTAAAGAACCCTCTTTAACAAAATCTATAACCCCAGGCACCTGCAATGGAAATGCTTTTTACACTAATTAGTAGGAAAAGTGTGTATGTATACACAATTAACATATTTTTTCGTTTCCAAATCAAGGAAGGGTATTAAAAATTTGCTGAAGCAAGGATAGTGGCAGAGGGACTCGCTATCTCTGCTACTGTTTCCTTGTCCAACAAACCATAAGCTCTTCAAGCACAAGCATAGTCTCACCCTGATTGCACAGAATTGTCCATTTCAAGATTCTGGATGCACAGAACTTGTTTTAAGTGTACAGTTCCTAAAAGCATTTAAAATGATTGCCTGAAATGTAAGCAGGTTGTTTTGAAGCTCTGTATAGGGCGAACGTGTGAACAGGAGTGGCATTCAGCAACTGATCAGACAATCGATACTAATAAATAAGGCTATCAAAGACAAATGAGATTGAGCTTAAAAGCAAGTATTGGTGATGTAAAACACACCATGCCTGAT